GGTTCAAACCTTTCACAGAAAGACATTAATTACGTTATGACACAAGTGTGACCCTCCACGGGAAAACGTACACTAACGACCTTCCGTTAAACGGGCTAAAACGTTAGCTATCCGTTAGTCATCCATTTGAAAAATTGATGAAAACCATTAGTAGCGTTGGTAAATCCTTTAGCTGGTGACTCTTGCCCGTCAGAGCGTTAATCATATCCGTTAGTGGCCTTGGTTAATCCGTTAGCACCCGATCCTTGCCCGTTAGAGCGTTAGCCATATCCGTTCCTTAGTCAATCCGTTAGTCTGATGATCTTTACTCGTTAGAAAACTTAGCGACAACTAACATTCGTTTCTGATAATGGAAACTCGAAAGACGCTAAAGAGAGCTTCTGAGAGTTCTGTTTTTGTGCTCTCTTGCACAAAAACATCCGGTGACAAAAGTCTCAGCTTTATTTGTTACAATGATATTTCTGGCAAGATGCACAGAGACAACTGAAACGGCAAAATACTCTGTCTTAAACGTTGAATTTCGTTACAAAAGTGTTTATGATGCCCATTTGTTGATGAGTAATTCACAGGCAAGTGATTGTTATAAAAAATTATTGGCATGTGCCGCCGAGTGTGAATTTGTGGCGTAACGAGAAACAAAAATGTGATATCTCTGGTTCCACAAGGCACACAAAGTCGATTGAAAGGGCAAAATACCCTGTCTTCGATGCTCAATTTCGTTACAAAATTGTTCATGATGCGCCAATTATTGACGAGTAATTTTTTCACAAGTATAGTTCATAGACTGTTTATTTGGCATGTGCCACTTAGTGTGAATTTGTGGCGTCACGACAAGCAATGTGATAACTCTGGCTCTACAAGGCGCACAAAGTCGATTGAAACGGCAAAATACTCTGTTTAAAACGCTGAATTTGGTTACGAAAGTGTTTATGATGCGCCATTTATTGATGAGTAATTGTTTATTTGGCATGTGTTGCTGAGCGTGAATTTGTGGCGTCACGAGAAAAAAGAATGTGGTATCCCTGGTTCTACAAGGCGCACCAAGTCGATTGAAACGGCAAATGAACAAATTTTTTGAATGGAGAATTATCACCCAAGCTGTTCGAACAGCTTCCTACCATATTCTCTTCAACGCCCCCCACTGCATAATTCTGTTCCTTAAGTTAACCCATAAAGCGGTTCGAATACTTTGATATGCTGGCTTCAGTTCATCAGGTTATCAAAGAAATTTGCATAAAGCATGTGAACATGAAGTGTCAATCAACCGGAGATAAATAGTTTTTTTTTTGACAATAAATTTAGATAAACGTTGTGTGATCGATACACAGCCGAGTGCTGGAAAAAGTTATTTTGAAGAGAAAAAAATAGAGTTGGATTATGTGTGACTTTCGTGGCGCACTGGTTATGTATTTAATTTGCGAATCCTCGCTTCCCAGTTTGATTCCTAGCTGTGGTGCCGGTGCTAGCGGCGCTTCTAGTTTTTTTTTCTTTTTTCTAGATTAGTAAAGTGCATTTGAGCCATCTTTTCCCCTTGTTCTTGTTTGGAAGTAAAATACTGTAAATCCTCTATCAAGCGCTACAGACCCAGGAGCAAAAAGCCGCAAAAGTATTAAATTTGCATAAAAGACTCTCGCAAAATAAATTGCCCTGCTTCGCCGGACACGCTATACCCTTGTCAGAGCATTACACTACAATAGCATTAGTAACAGTTTTTAAAAGAAACTATAACTAAACAATCTGTAAATAAACCATCCGTTTTGAAAGAGAATATTGTAATGCTATTTTGAGAAGCGGTATAAACATATGTTACTCCCGACCCAACCCTTCCTTGAATTTCGAACGCACTTCCTAATTATTTATTACTTCTACAAGTAGTTCTAAAGAAATGACGGTCGTTCGGAAATTCGTCGTCTTTGGGTCGTCACGCAACGCTTCCACTGCTCTTCACTCCCGGTGGATCAAATTTCAACAAAAATTTGCATAAAGTTGTTTAGTTCGAATGTCAATGAGCGAGAGTCGACTAATATTAATTTTCCACCAAACTCAAAGGTCCACTGATGCATTTTTGGAATAAGATAACTAAGATGGATTGAGATAACCTGCCAGACATTCGCTGTAGTTGGTTAGCGGATTCTCAACAAGAGACGCTTTTGACTGTCGGCCGCAGTTGTTTATTGATGGTGGTCTGGTGTCGCTTTTTCGCTCGATTACGACTCCGTTTTTCGGCTTGTTTCGTTAGGGACAATTGCCAATGTCACGTAGAAAACAAAGAGGAATGGAGAATTGAATGCTATTATCAGTTTTAGCTGCTGCAAAACCACGCTTTCTTTCTTTGATCGACCGTTTAACTTAAGACTTCGCTAAAAGGCAAGAGATAATACGTGACCGATTCGATTCATTTCATTCTGATTCAATTTCCGCAGTTCATGTGTTATTTCATTATTATACATCATTCACAACTTATGATCCGTTTATTTTATAGAATTAAGACTTTAGTGGTGATCAGTCACTAGAACTTTAGTATAAACCGTTAGAACCTTAACGTAAACCATTGGAGCGTTAGAGCGGACCGTTGGACCGTTAGGACAACCCGTTAGAGCGTTAAGACAAACTGTTAGAAGGCCAAGGCCGAGCGTTAGAACGTTAGTACAAAGCGTTAGAATGACTTCAGAGCCGTTAGCAATCCGTTAAGTATCCGTTAGTTTTCTAACGTTTAACGGAAGGTCGTTAGTGTACGTTTTCCCATGGAGGGTCACAAGTGTGCTGGAGCAGAAACACTTTTTTTGTTGGTTTTTTTGTTTGTTGTTTGTTTGTTTTTTGTTTCACCTCTGCACAAAAACAAACAAAATCAAAAGATAACATTCAATTTGCCAGTAGTTGAGAAAACAACCCCTTCCACCAACCGCCTTCCCCCCTCCCCCAGAAAATTATTAACATTCTATTTTGTTCAGTGCATGAACAGCACTAAATCATTGTCCAATTTAGTTTGATTTTGTTTAGTCCTCAGTTTGTTTGCTAATACCCAAGGTTTTATATGCAAGCTTACCTATTGTCATTCTCTCCGCCAAAGCTCTCTTGTTCCACAGGGGCTTGTATAAGAAGAATCTTATCTACCTTCTCAGATAGTTTACTGAGCCTTTTAGACTCCAAAACGTTAAACAGAGAGGCTACAAAGTCTGCTAAATTATTCTGCAAATCCTGTGAGTGATCTTCGCCCCTGATGAGGGCAAAATCCTTCCTGATCTTGACATCACCACCAGATTTACACCCAAATACAAAGCATCGTGTGTTCAGTAAAATGGCACTAAAAGGATTTTTAATCTCATTGACAGGTTTTTCCAACTTTTCCACTTCGTTGATTTCTGAACATTTCCCTACACAGATGAGTCCCAACACTCGCTTGTGAAAATGAAAATTTCCCCACTCAATAAACTGTGGAGTCACCCTTTTCGAATACCTCAAGTGAAGTGTCCTTGTTGTGTTGGGTACCTGCGCACGTCGGTACTGTGAAATTTCCTCGTAAAATGCCCTAAATTGCTTGTCTCCTATATATCCAACTGGTTGTACAAGTATCAAGACCCCACAATGGTCCAACAAGCTTTGGCCAAAGTCTACTCTCAGCATACTAAAGAAACGTAGACTGGCGCCATATTTAGATTTGTTCCAAGACTCTCACTTCGTGTCCGCCATATTTTCAACTAGGCTTCCAACACCAGTGCGCATAAATATCCAAATTGCACCGCCGACAAGTTTTTACAGTGGGCTCATAGTGAAAGTTGTATCATTTATGCCTTAAAACTCTTATTGCTATATTGGGACTTCGGGCATTGCGCTATAAAACAATTGCTGGTTAAACATTTCTATTCGTGACGGAAGAGGTGGGAGGGGGACTATGGGGTATTCAAAAATTTTTCAACGGCTTTAACCCACCAATACCCCTCGCAAAAGGTCACGAGCAGTGACTTGATGTCAAATAAGGAAGACTCCAGCAAAACATCCAGAAGCTGTGTTCAATAAACAAGATGTGATGGTGATAATGAGTTACATCTGGGTAGCCTGCGTGGCAGGCGTTCGAAAGGGAAGGCGAAGAGATTAAGGGCCCTTTCTCGAAACTCCCTTTCCCTTCCCTTTCAAACGCCTGCCACGCAGGCTACATCTGGGGGACCAAAAAAACCAAACCACGCCTAGATTTGTCTCCTTTGGGCCCGGCCAGGTTTCAATTTCCTGACGAGCGTTCCCGTCCCTTAACAAACAGTAACTACAAGGTGGCATATTTTTCAACACCAATGAAATACCAAGTGAGCTTTCGCGCGAAAACTTGATATCTTCGCATGTGAAAATATCATTATTGCTATGGCTTCATAATAAACCGCACCATTCAGACCAAAAAACTTTTTAAGTAAACTGGTTTGGGATTTCATTGGTGTTTATATAATAAATAGAATATTACATGGTCGCTTGGAGATACGGGGCGCTTTCCATTTAGGAAAAAAACCCGGAAATTTCGGTGGTAGCAAAAGTGGAATTTCCGATTGGTAAAAAGTTGTTCCATTTGGTCGTAAACCCCGGTACGTGGCGGTACCCGACCGTAGACCTGGAACTGGTACAAACTACGAGAAACGTAAATGGAACACGACATTCCGTTCGGAAATTCCAGCCGGGAAAACGGGACCAACTTTTTAGATTTTCCACTTTTTCTGGGAGTTTTCCAGTGGGACGAACCGACGAAACGTGTTCCATTTACCGCCGAACCGGAAATTCCGGAAATTTTGACTAAATGGAAAGCTCTCACGAATTTTCTCTTCCCGATATTTCACTCGTTCGCTGCGCTCACTCGAGAAATATTTTTCAACACTCCAAGAGAAATTTCGTATTTTCGCGCGGCCATGTAATATCCTCTATTTATTTCAAATCTTTTTAAAAATTATTCCATGCAATGACCCATAAAATTCAAATGCATATCTAAAGAGCCTGCGCGGTCGACACCCGAACTAGTCAACATGGCGTCTTCGATGATCGGAAGGCCAAAAATGAGACTCCTTTTTCACAGCTTTGCCGCGGGTCTTTATGCTTTTACTTTTTACCACGAATTAACGTTGAATTTACCAAATCGTGCTACTTATGGCGGCAGATGGAAGTTTTTAACGATATTAAATTTGGTAAGATAAGTGTTAATTAAGCTTACGTAACCAAGTGTCATGTTAAAAAAAGAAACAATCTCATGTGAGCTAAGGTCTCTTAACGTTGGAGGCCTGGACTCCGGCCGGCTGGTTACGAAATCTCAACATGGTGGCCTACCGAGGACTGTTTCATTTTGGATGTGGATTTTTTTACATTTACGGAACCTATTATGATCTGCAAATTGTGACAGCACATTCGCAGAGTTATGGAGGCCGATTCAAATACCTTACATTTCTGAATTTGGTAAGAATCGAACGTGGGAATGCTCACCTGCTCTGCAAAGTGACTTACATGTATTAAGTCAATTTCAAATACTCAGGCCATACGTCTTGTTGATACTTAACACTAAAAGCGTATTTCCAAGTTATGTCGATTTCGGTTTGCTGTTTAACATTACTGTTGCATTTTTAAGGCTCTACTATAAGCTTGTATACAATAAGCTTAAATTTATTGTAACTAAGCCGGATTGTAACAGTTGTAAAAGTTGCATTCAAATAATCCCTGGATTGAATTGTGTTTAACTAAAATATACTGTGACTAAATGTTCATATGCTCAAGCACACCTCGGAGTGATGTTCTGGTTTGCATACACAGGTACATGCAAAAGAATTTACAATTATGTATTATTTATTATTTCTCCCCCCTCCCCCCCCGCCTCATTATTCACCTCTCTCCCTCACTTCCCCCAGGCTCTCTCCAGCTACATCCACCACTGTATGACACTGGGGTGGGGGGTCGGCTTCAATATTTTGTACTATAACCTTTCTGGTTTGTCTAATTAATGATGTGGCTGGACACTGCTCTCACGAAGAAAAATTATTTGCGGGCCTGTAATGCTTATATTATGGAATTATATATTTTAATGGTGATATTAACCAACCTATGCCATTAACCAACCTATGTTGGAGGCTCCCTCGTGGGTGAGACATTTTTTACTATTATTGTGACTGTATGATGCAGTTATGCCATAATGTGTTGCTTGTGATGGACTGCGTGATGCGGTTCACAAGTCCAGCCCACAAAAATGGCCCTTGCTGGTCAACGAGTTCTCAGTAGCTCAGAGGTTAGAGCATCCGATTTAGAGCATGGGGGGTCGTGGGTTTGAATCCCATCTGGGGCTCAGATTTTTTCTGTGTCCTCTTATGGTTGATTCTTTACATCTCCCTTTATTTCCTTTTTAATGGTGATATTACTCTTATTATTTTGTGTGTTTTCCTTTAGCTTCTTCAGTTGATCTTCTTTATAATAGCACCCCTGGCAGATGTGTTAACCTTTATAAGAGGGAGAGAAGACAATTGGCTTGTTAGAGCACGTGACCTTGTGTTTGCATCATTAGCATTTCCTATTAGTGTGGTAAGTGCATGGGCTGAAAGGGGTTTGCCGTTATCAGTCATCATCTTCTATATCATCATCATCATCATCATCATCATCATCAGTTTTTTTTATAAAGCGGATAAATTTGATAATATACGGCACTCCTTGAAGGGTGGTGTTGGCACAAGGTTTGGAACACACTGTCCCCCTGGGGTCTTCATGCCATACCAAAAAGGAGTTAAGGAACAGAGCCCATGATTTTTTATCCTAAATGGAGACGACCAAAATTTGTAACCAGCTGTAGATATCAGCACATTCTCATCATTAATTTCAAGACCCTGAGTGTTGATCTGGTCAGGCTGGGGTTTGAACCTGGACCTCCTGCAATTTTAGTCGACCCACAGTGCTTAGCTAGTTGAGATAACCCTTTTTCCATTCATTCTATTGTAGTCATGTTTGGTGTATGCTTCAAAGTTTTGTATCGTGTTGTCTTGTTTCTATCTGGCAAAGCAAAGAAATGAAAAAAAATAATTATATTGAACATTGTTATTATATTTTAATTTTAATGCTATGGCACCTGCCTGGGCTCATGCAGAAATAGTGCTGTCCAGTGGTCTGGGAACAATTTATTTTCCTGCTGTGCAAGTCGATTTCATGCCCATTTAATTGCTGATGGGTTAGGGCCAGGCAAGTCACCTTCTAACTAAAAATAATTCTTTAGACAAGGATCCAATTGTGTACAAGCAAAATGTAAGATCAAACAACTTTTTGTGAAGTAAACAAGCTCAAATTCAAGTTTTTTCAAGCCCTTAGCAGAAATAAGACAATTAGTATGTCTCATTTCTGACACCAAAGTCTTGATTCTAATTAATTTCCACTTGAAGACCATGCATATCATTTACTCATTTTTTAACTACATTTCAGTTTGTAGCCACAACATTTTGGGGAATTTACATGATAGACAGGGAACTGATTTTTCCTAAAGCACTTGACAAGATTATTCCTTCTTGGATATCTTTATAATAGCACCCCTGGCAGATGTGTTAACCTTTATAAGAGGGAGAGAAGACAATTGGCTTGTTAGAGCACGTGACCTTGTGTTTGCATCATTAGCATTTCCTATTAGTGTGGTAAGTGCATGGGCTGTAAGGGGTTTGTCCTTATCAATCATTATCTTCATCATCATCATCATAATCGTCATCAGTTTTTTTGATAAAGCAGATAAATTTGATTAAATATACGGCACTCCTTGAAAGGTGGCATTGACACAAGGTTTGGAGCACACTCCTGGGGTCTTAATTCATGCGATACCAAAAAGGAGTTGAGGAACAGAGCCCATGATTTTTTATCCTAAATGGAGACGACTCAGTAAAATTTGTAACCAGCTGCAGATATCAGCACATTCTCATTATTAATTTCAAGACCCTGAGTGTTGATCTGGTCAGGCTGGGGTTTGAACCTGGACCTCCTGCAATTTTAGCAGACCCACATTGCTTAGCCAGTTGAGATAACCCTTTTTCCATTCATTCTATTGTAGTCATGTTTGGTGTATGCTTCAAAGTTTTGTATCATGTTGTCTTGTTTCTATCTGGCAAAGCAAAGAAAAGAAAAAATATAATTATATTGAACATTGTTATTATTATTTTTTTTAATTTTAATGCTATGGCACCTGCCTGGGCTCATGCAGAAATAGTGCTGTCCAGTGGTCTGGGACAATTTATTTTCCTGCTGCGCAAGTAGGTTTCATGCTCATTTAATTGCTGATGGGTAAGGGCCTGGCAAGTCGCCTTCTAACTAAAAATAATTCTTAAGACAAGGATCCAATTGTGTACAACCAAAATGTAAGATCAAACAACTTTGTGTGAAGTAAACAAGCTGCAATTCAAGTTTTTTAAAGCCCTCAGCAGAAATAAGACAATTATTATGTCTTATTTCTGACACCAAAGTCTTGATTCTAATTATTTTCCACTTGACGACCATGCATATCATTTACTCATTTTTTAACTACATTTCAGTTTGTAGCCACAACATTTTGGGGAATTTACATGATAGACAGGGAACTGATTTTTCCTAAAGCACTTGACAAGATTATTCCTTCTTGGATATACAATCTCATGTGAGCTAAGGTCTCTTAACGTTGGAGGCCTGGACTCCGGCCGGCTGGTTACGAAATCTCAACATGGTGGCCTACCGAGGACTGTTTCATTTTGGATGTGGATTTTTTTACATTTACGGAACCTATTATGATCTGCAAATTGTGACAGCACATTCGCAGAGTTATGGAGGCCGATTCAAATACCTTACATTTCTGAATTTGGTAAGAATCGAACGTGGGAATGCTCACCTGCTCTGCAAAGTGACTTACATGTATTAAGTCAATTTCAAATACTCAGGCCATACGTCTTGTTGATACTTAACACTAAAAGCGTATTTCCAAGTTATGTCGATTTCGGTTTGCTGTTTAACATTACTGTTGCATTTTTAAGGCTCTACTATAAGCTTGTATACAATAAGCTTAAATTTATTGTAACTAAGCCGGATTGTAAAAGTTGTAAAAGTTGCATTCAAATAATCCCTGTATTGAATTGTGTTTAACTAAAATATACTGTGACTAAATGTTCATATGCTCAAGCACACCTCGGAGTGATGTTCTGGTTTGCATACACAGGTACATGCAAAAGAATTTACAATTATGTATTATTTATTATTTCTCCCCCCTCCCCCCCCGCCTCATTATTCACCTCTCTCCCTCACTTCCCCCAGGCTCTCTCCAGCTACATCCACCACTGTATGACACTGGGGTGGGGGGTCGGCTTCAATATTTTGTACTATAACCTTTCTGGTTTGTCTAATTAATGATGTGGCTGGACACTGCTCTCACGAAGAAAAATTATTTGCGGGCCTGTAATGCTTATATTATGGAATTATATATTTTAATGGTGATATTAACCAACCTATGCCATTAACCAACCTATGTTGGAGGCTCCCTCATGGGTGAGACATTTTTTACTATTACTGTGACTGTATGATGCAGTTATGCCATAATGTGTTGCTTGTGATGGACTGCGTGACTGCGTGATGCAGTTCGCAAGTCCAACCCACAAAAATGGCCCTTGCTGGTCAACGAGTTCTCAGTAGCTCAGAGGTTAGAGCATCCGATTTAGAGCATGGGGGGTCGTGGGTTTGAATCCCATCTGGGGCTCAGATTTTTTCTGTGTCCTCTTATGGTTGATTCTTTACATCTCCCTTTATTTCCTTTTTAATGGTGATATTACTCTTATTATTTTGTGTGTTTTCCTTTAGCTTCTTCAGTTGATCTTCTTTATAATAGCACCCCTGGCAGATGTGTTAACCTTTATAAGAGGGAGAGAAGACAATTGGCTTGTTAGAGCACGTGACCTTGTGTTTGCATCATTAGCATTTCCTATTAGTGTGGTAAGTGCATGGGCTGAAAGGGGTTTGCCGTTATCAGTCATCATCTTCTATATCATCATCATCATCATCATCATCATCATCAGTTTTTTTTATAAAGCGGATAAATTTGATAATATACGGCACTCCTTGAAGGGTGGTGTTGGCACAAGGTTTGGAACACACTGTCCCCCTGGGGTCTTCATGCCATACCAAAAAGGAGTTAAGGAACAGAGCCCATGATTTTTTATCCTAAATGGAGACGACCAAAATTTGTAACCAGCTGTAGATATCAGCACATTCTCATCATTAATTTCAAGACCCTGAGTGTTGATCTGGTCAGGCTGGGGTTTGAACCTGGACCTCCTGCAATTTTAGTCGACCCACAGTGCTTAGCTAGTTGAGATAACCCTTTTTCCATTCATTCTATTGTAGTCATGTTTGGTGTATGCTTCAAAGTTTTGTATCGTGTTGTCTTGTTTCTATCTGGCAAAGCAAAGAAATGAAAAAAAATAATTATATTGAACATTGTTATTATATTTTAATTTTAATGCTATGGCACCTGCCTGGGCTCATGCAGAAATAGTGCTGTCCAGTGGTCTGGGAACAATTTATTTTCCTGCTGTGCAAGTCGATTTCATGCCCATTTAATTGCTGATGGGTTAGGGCCAGGCAAGTCACCTTCTAACTAAAAATAATTCTTTAGACAAGGATCCAATTGTGTACAAGCAAAATGTAAGATCAAACAACTTTTTGTGAAGTAAACAAGCTCAAATTCAAGTTTTTTCAAGCCCTTAGCAGAAATAAGACAATTAGTATGTCTCATTTCTGACACCAAAGTCTTGATTCTAATTAATTTCCACTTGAAGACCATGCATATCATTTACTCATTTTTTAACTACATTTCAGTTTGTAGCCACAACATTTTGGGGAATTTACATGATAGACAGGGAACTGATTTTTCCTAAAGCACTTGACAAGATTATTCCTTCTTGGATAAATCATGTTTTGGTAAGCTAAATGGCTGACTAGCTCAAGCCAGTTTTCCATACTATTTGTTGGCCATTTGTTAGAAGCTTTCATTTTGATAAATAGTTTCAATAGTTACAATTCAAAGTCCACAAATGATCACATGCCCACTTTATGATTTGAAGGTGCATCTAGAACATTTAAAGGTCAGTGTAAGTTGAACCCTAGCATTAATTTTTAATTTTTAGTAAAATGATGAGAAGCAAACCTAGTAGTGCCCTATAAAAGGTTTCATTTGAATGGTCAAACCACAAGATTTAATTGTTCGCAGACTAAAAAATAAAATCTACTTGATGGAAACTCACTTGATAGAGCATCATTTAAAAGTCAAGTGTATTGCTATTAATACAGAAATTATTCATTTGAATGAGTGAAATCAAAGCATATTGTAATTATATCTCATCCATAGACTTGATCAATAGTTAAAACTTTATACTGATATCATTGATTAATTAATTAATGCCTAAATGTCTCATGCTGGTATAATTTATTATATTAATCAAAATTAATTTTTATTCATATTCTTACTCTTTGTACTTGGTTTTCAGCATACCTGGTGTGCAGTCCTTATAATCATAGAGGGTGCCTTTATTAAGCACAAATATCCAAAGAATCGTGTTGGCTTGGGTCTATTGACCTTCGCTTCTGTAGCTTATCTTCTGTGGTTAGTATGTCAGCATTCATCTAAGAAAGATTTCTTGCGATCAAGTTTACCAGAGTTACAAATAACAGCCAGTCATCAGACTATGTCCAATTAAACTTTGCCCATGTACCTGCAGGCAGATAGGATAACCAAACGAAACATTAAGGTTATCATTTTGTAGCTGAAGATTTGCATAGTGCAGTATTAATAGCTTGTCCTTTTTCAAGTGCATAAATCTCTTCTCTAAAATAATGGCTTTGAGAAATTCAAGTAGTAGCCTGAGTATCAGGCCTTCCTAAGGGGCTAGTAGTGGTCAGAAGAGACACTGCAGGTTCTTAGGAGGAGTAAAATTTTCAGATGGGTGGGGGTGGATAATTTTTCAGAAATAATGCTAGTCAGCTTTTTTTTGTTTTGTTTTGTTCTGTTTTTTGTTTTGGTTTATAATACTGAAGATATTGCATTTTTGTGAAACTGATCCCCTGACAAATTTAATCTTTTGTTCACAATTTTGAAACAAGGGTCTAGCTTTAAGAGAGTTTTCTGCATATGCTTTGCCAATTTTTCATCAAAATGATGCCTGACATAACAATTTACACTTGACCCTGTGCACCGAAAGTAGCGAACCTTATTTTCCTTTTAGAGGCATAGAGTAGTGATAGCTTGGGCATGGTTTCTTTTGCCAACAAATAATTATAAGGTATGTCTAAATCCGACACCCTTTTTTAAACAGGCACGTTCATTACTAATCCGTGGATTGATCTTTTCTTTTTTCAGGATTACCTGGATTGCCTATGTTGCAGAGTTTTGGGTATACCCATTCCTGCGTGCAATGCCCAATAATGGGAGAGTAGTCTTCTTTACTTTGTCCTTCTGTGTCATTGTGTTCTTTTATTTTCTGGGCAAGTGGAAGACCATGTTTATCTGGGGAGGTAGGTTGAAAAGACACACTAAATAAATAGTACCATGTGAAATTACTGCTGAGGAGATTTCATTTGAATCTTCTCAGAGACATCTACAGAGACAATTAAAAATTAATTTAAATAGTTAACCAAGTGAAAGTACGAGGATATCTATGAAACCTCTTCAGCAGATGAATAGTCACACCATAGAATTTCATCCACAGCCTCAAAAGTTAGCAGTACATTTTAAATATATAGTACCATGTGAAAGTAGTGCAGAAGAGGACTCAAAAGACTCAAAAGTTAGAACTACATACTTAATGAATAGTGCAATGTGAAAGTACTGCTTAAGAGGTTTCATTTGAATGGTAACACTATAGGATTTTATTCACGGACTCAAAAGTTAGAACTACATACTTAATGAATAGTGCAATGTGAAAGTACTGCTTAAGAGGTTTCATTTGAATGGTAACACTATAGGATTTCATTCACGGACTCAAAAGTTAGACGTTCATTCCAAGACTTGGTAATTGACTGTCGACTCAAGAATTAAAAAGGATTAACACGTATTTTGTTTTGATTCCAGGAGATAATGACGCAAATTCCACCACAAATAATGGAAAACGTAAAGATGGGGTCAAAAAGAAAGTCAAAAAAGCAGACTAGCATTAATTGTAAACACTTTGATAAGCTCTATGGTTTTTTTTTTGTTGTTGTTGTTGTTTTTTTCCATTCATCCTTTCCCTCTTATCCTGACATTTCTTACTTTTTAAACTTTTAAAGTTAGTTTAATAGACTATATTGATTGAACTAACATATTATGAAACTTGAAAAGCTGGTATCGCTTTTCTCAGAAGGGCCTTCAAAGAGGCTTTCTGTTAAGGGCGTTTGTTTGTTTGTTCAGTTTGATTTTTTCCCCGTTGACTCTGAAAAATCGCTTTTTATTCTTATAAAAATAATTCGTCAAAAAGTCACGTATTTTGAAACCGCAGTTTCAAACCAGAGTGATGACCGTGCGCGGATCATACCTGAAATTACACTGAAAAATTTGGTTATTTATTGTTCTGGATAAAATCACATTTCTTACAATGAAATCCGGGATTAAGATTAGTTCAATTAATTGCTTTCAAAGGCACTTGAATTCTTTATCCATCACCTGACTCGTCAATTCCCGCCTTTTCACTCAAAAACTTCACCGCTCTTATTCTATTAATTTGTTTTTTTTTAATCGCTCTTATTCTATTAGTTTGTCAAATGTTGGCGACAACGTCAGAAAACAACTGATTTTGTAAGCAAAACAACAGCTCTGCACATGCATCACGCTTTCTAGTACATTTCTTTGATGTCCATTGCAAACCACTGCACGTACGCGACGTGAAATAGCTTGAAATCTCCAGGTGCGACGTTTTATGGAGGACGTGAACATACGACGACGATTTCCCTGTCCCTCTTTGAACCTGGATATTAAGAACTGATACAACTCCTACATTTGTCAAATTGAAAGGGTCCAAACTGACGCGATAAAGTTCGAAAGAACGTAAATTCATTTTTTTAAGCGACGTTGTCATTTTCGTCGTCACAGGTAACCCAGGCTCTGTGATAGTGGACTGTGAGCAGTCCCTCAGGATGGTCACGCGAGCAAGGAAATCGAGCGAAGCGAGCGAAAAAAAACGAGAAGCCGAGGGGACTCGACTGATTGAAGAGGGACTGCTCGCAGTCTACTGTGAAAGTACCACAGTACGGTTTCAGTAAAATTGCAGAGTTTGTAGGAAATACTATAAATAAAGGTCAATGAAACTTACTCTCCAGTTAGTTGTTGTTGTCCTTAATTCTCCAACGAAGTTTCGTGATAATTTGTTCATATTCACTCTCTATACAATAATAATACACAAGGTAGGAGGCACGAGATGCCATCTTGGCCGCCATGCTGCCTTTCCAACTCACTCAACTTTTTCCACGAAATTCGAACTCCAACGGGAAATAAACATGCTAGGATCGTAGAAATAGGATAGCAAAAGATATAGAAATCAATGAAGCTGTCCCAGATAGAGAAAAGAATCCCGCAGACTTTGACAAACTGGAAGGGTACAGTCCAAAAAGGCCGAGAAACGATGCGCCGAAGTGGCCGGGCCGGATTATAACGCGCGGCCAAACAAGTGAAGCCTGGGCACTGTACAAATCAAATCCATCCCGGGTGTCCTGGGGTTACCTTTCTAGGGACCGATACACTGAGCTTGCCCAAAGTTAGCCTCCCCTGCTGGAAGTTAGCTGGAAGCACATTTGCTCAAAGTCTGCGGGATTCGTTTCTCTATCTGGGAAAGCTTCATTGATTTCTTAGCATGTTTATTTCCCGTTGGAGTTCGAATTTCGTGGAAAAAGGTGATATTACACGGGACGATCCGCAACGACGATTTTTAGCGCAAGCGTTGAAACGGTTGTTCCGACATCAGAGACCTTTGGATTCTGAGACGAGTACGACTACGAGTACGAGATTTTCTCAATACTAAGTAGGGCTAGCGCAGGAACCAGCGTCATTTTGGCGGGAAAACATGGTTCCCGTCGTTATTCACTGAGTTTTAGCGAGAATGTCGTGGTAACGGAAACAAGTTATAAAGTGTTAGAGGTTTAAGTTCCTTCAGTAAAGATAACGGTGTTAATTTTTTGGCGAAAAAGAAGTGTAATGAAGCTTTCCGGGGTTCCTATAATTTGAGAATACGCGAAACAACTTTAAGTCAAATCTCGTACTCGTAGTCGATCGTTCTCTTCTTAGAATCTAAAGGTCTCTATTGTTTCGAATGGTTACAACTTTGTTCCAGAAGGTGATGTTACAATGTTTTAAATGCTTGCAACATTGTTCCAACATTACAACGCTGTGTTGCGCTAAAAATCGTCGTTGCGAGTCGTCCCGTGTAACATCACCTTAAAGTGGAGAGTCACCAAATAGGTGTTCATACTATGTACCGGATAGCTTTCCGTGTCGGCACGAAAAGCAACGCAACGACGATTTTTAGCGCAAAACAGCGTTGCAACATTGTTGCGACACTGTTTGGAATGACATTGTTCCAGCATTGCAACGCTGTGTTGCGCTAAAGGGCGATTCGCATTGAGCGCAACGCAGCGTTGCAATGTTGGAACAATGTTGTTACTATTCAAAACAATGTAGCAACAATGTTGCAACGCTGTGTTGCTCTAAAAATCGTTGTTGCGAATCGTCCGGCCCATGTAACATCACCTTTATATATGCTGCATCTCGATGCATCAAATGGGTGCTGTATATTTGTGCTAGGGTGGAATGTGAATTCATTTTGGCCAAGCTATTTTTGTGTAGCTTTAGAGAATGTGTTAATATAAGAATGTGTTAATTACCATGGTAACACCAAGAGTCCGGATACCTTCATTAAACGTCCTCAAAATATCAAATCATTGCCTTAATTTTTGTACAAGAAAGGTCCTTTTGCGCTCCATCGTAAACAGACTAAAGTGATTTGTAGGAACGAGGAAAATTGAACCTGCTGTCGAATTAAGTTCAATGAGTAAAAATCTCTTTGTAGTGTTCAGTTTTATAGATTGTTGAATTAATTCGACTTTTTAGTAAGTAGGTATAAATTTTGGACACTAATTTGATGGCGTTTCTATTAATTGTTTCTTGAGCCTATCAAAGCAACCGTCATGTTTAGTAATTTTGTAAAGGACCAATGATCTTTATTTAAGTAATGAAATAATTACAAAAGCAATTACCAAAATTTATACGGCGTTTGTATTCTGTTAAGTCTTGCAATATTTTACTTCCAAAACACTTTATTAAGGGCAGACTTAACATGTCAAAGTCGCCTAGAAATGGATGGGTTTTCTTTGTTTTAACGGTAATTCTAGGGGTTCAACCCATTGCGGATTGACAAAAACTGTTCAGTCAAGCATGATTTGCCTGGAATACGGGTCAATTGATGCACGTAATTGAAAATTTAAATTTCTTTGAGAAGATTTCAATTTCTTTGTTCCACACTGATGAAAAGCTACAAAGTCAACTGTGCTCGAGTTAGGCTGAGCGGCGTTTACGTGCATACCGTTTCGCTTGTTTTACATTATAACACTACTGAAGTTTACAGGACTGAAAAGGGCGGAGTTTTCATTTCCTCCTTAATGCTTGCATTATGCATTTGCTCTGCCGTTGTGGCTGGAATATTGTCTCTCTTTGCGATGGTGGCAAATGGTGTTTTGATATACGTTATATACAAGGACCCTCTTAACTGTTTTCGCAAGCCGATGACGGTTTTAATCGCTGCATTGGCAATCAACGACTTTTTAACTGGATCAGTTATCGGCACCTTGCATGTTCTGAGCGAGATCTCATGCGAGACTGGTGTACAAAGCCTGTCTGCCAAAGGCACCTTTGAGACTGTTATTGGGCTGTTCGCGTTGAACAACACTACGTTTCTGGTCATGGGATTATCAGGGGAGCGTCTTATCGCCGTAGCGTACCCGTTCCATTACCGTGCTAGAGCAAGCGGTCGTAAAACTCTAGCGTGCGTGGTATGCATTGTGTTATACTCCTTCTTGTTTTGCCTCCTGCAGCTTATAAACGATATTTCAATGGGAATTTATTATGCGCTGCAGCTTCATCTCAATATGACCGTTCCTCTTGTTACTGTACTGATTGCAAACTTCGTTCTCCTGCGAGTTTTGCGAGGCTACAGATCTAGACGACGTGCATGCTCAATGAGTTCGGATGGAAGTGACAGTTATTTTTCCACCAAAGAGAAAATGTTTGAAATTGAAAAACAGTTCGCATCTACGGCTATTCTTATAGTTATCTTTCTCGTTATATCGCACGCGCTATATTACTTAATGACTCTAATTGAAGTCCACTGTTCTGATTGTATTGGTGGAGACTGGTTCGTCTTTTGTCAACGGATTTCTCTTCCTTTTCTGTTTATAAATCCTGCTTGCAATCCATTTATTTATACATTTCGGATCCGTCAATGCCGCCGATCTTTGAAAGTTCTCTTTTTTAAGTGGCAAGAAACTGTCGATGTTTCTCCGAGGCCTTCGCACGTCGTAACAGGTCCGCCCGCACGCAATGCGATCGTGCTACGGAAAATATCGAGAATGTGTTCGACGACTGGTCAGTTCGTCGAGGAATTTAAGGAGGAGAACCTTTCAGATTATTTTGACTTAGGGATTGATAACCTGGCTAACATCGACGCCAACTATTATCACGATGTATTTGAGACAAAAGCCGAGGAAAAGCAGCAGGAGCTACAGAATGGCAAAACATTAAGGCATAGCACTACAAATGATACGAGTATGAAGACGAATGATATTGGTCAAGCAAAAGAGGATAACAACCTTGTATATGACACAAAGTTATAGAGTGATTACTTGCTGGAGTTGTGGAAGCAATGGTCCAATATCAAATACAATAAAATGTACCCGACACAAAAATAAACAGACGAAACTGCGCATTGAGGTGCACGTGAGAAGTCTGCTGACAGTTGCTAATTTTTTTAAAGCCAGAGACAATCAATGGTGTTGCACAGCTAGAGCAGAAAATCTTTGTCATTTAAAGAACAAGAAGATACAAGTTCTCAAATACTTTTATTCATACAGACGTTCTGGGTCAGGAGCTCACAGTATTAACCCCTACAGACAATCACCAAACTAAAAACAAATGGCTAACATTATAAAGAGATTTTGGATCAAGTCCAAGGCACTAACAGCAAACATCACGGATGCAAGATGACAATTAAATTGGAGTATGAGCAAAAAAACCGTTCGAAAGAATTCTTGTGGAAGAGACTAACATGAAACTACTTATTTTTTTGTAGATATAACGAACTTTGAAGATCCAGTAAGGTCACGTGGTACAAACTGACGTTTGTTTGCTTTTTGCCGTAAACTCAGTTGATTCTAATTCTCTCCAATGTGAATTTGCGCGCATCGATGACGACGAAATGAAGTAAAACAAAAAGTTTGTAAATCACTATTGAACCGAGACTACCACTTCAGAATAGTTATATAAATAAACACGATGTATGCATATCCTGTGGTAGGAAAACAGATGTTGGAAATAAGGAACATGTATTATTACCAAAATTTCTATTTGTCATGCCTTCACTTCGCTTTCTAAAACTGTTAATTGTAAGGTTAACTCCTAAATATACTAAGCAAATATAGAGCTGACATTCTAGGGAAGCAAGAGTCATTGACTGATAGTGTTCTTGATCTTGGCGTTTCCTTTGAATACTACTTAGTCGTTGCAATGCAAGGTTTCTTTCCCTGTTAGTCAAGTTGACCTATTTATTGTTGGTTGAACGAAAGTCTTTGCCCTTGAATTCAGTCCGTAATTGTCTTGACACGGGTACCGGATATATTAGGTGGCTTATTGTGAGCGGAAAAAGTTAACCATTGCCCATGCGCGGATAGGTCATTCTCTTTGTGATCAACAGAGCGATAAATGAATGTAAAACAATTTACTCATTTCAAGGTTTTTTGCTTCGAACCGCAAACTAAGAGATAACTGAAAAAGGCAATGGAGCCTTATGGCACTTAACTTCACATCGGATACGAAGAGACTCATTTGCCTGGCAATTTTGTTGGGAATTTATCTTCTATCCGGCGCTGCTGTCTTCCAAGTTCTTGAAAATGAGAATGATAAATTGGAAGTACAGCAACTGAATTCTGTGAAAAGGTTCTTCTTAAAAAAGCATAACATGACATCAGAGGATTTTGATTTTCTCGTGGAGAGGGTTGAAAGTGCTGTGAAGCACCGCTGTGGGAACGACCCGGATCAATGGTGTACTTCTAGGTGGACATACTACGCTTCAGTGTACTTTACATGGAGTGTTGTGACCACTGTAGGTAAGGTGTTTGCGTTCCGAGTGTAAGCGTAACAAAAAGGAGTAACTTATTGCTATTTTAAACACATCGCTCATTAAACTGGCCTGTTTTTTATTATTATTTTTTTTACGTTCTCGTTGCCGTCGCAGTGTCGTGGTCCCGTAAGCGAAAACACTACAGAGAAATTCGAACATGGAACTCCAACACTCGAGTTTGCTCTGATTTACTTAAGTTGGCAAGTTCTACTAAGCTCTTTGATTTCTCTCGTTAATGTAATGTTAAGCAAACGGTTTCCCTAAAAATATGCAATTTTGTTTCCTTGCCAGAACCAATACGATATAAAGCTCGTTATCATGACTGTCTAAAAATTCTTGACCCCTCTCTTAATTCCTGGTAGAGAGGGGGTGAAAATTGCGTACTTTTAAAGTATAGTAACAAACAAAAGGCATAAATATACCAACTAGCGTGTTTCATCTTCTTAAAAAGAAAATGAGAAAAACATTATTTAGTGGCAACATTAGTAACAACCAACAGCAGCAAAGGACAGTTAATCTTCTTTTAACTGCTGTTACAACGATGCAGGCATTATAAAAATTATGAAAATTATGAAAATTATATCATATATTGCATCTGCCCAAAAGTGAGACTAGCAATAAATTAGTTCAAAACAATCTCTTTCCTCTCCCTTCGCAGGCTATGGTCACCTGGCTCCCAGTACCGTTGGCGGTCGCGTATTCTGCATGATTTTTGCCTTATTTGGAATACCTCTAAACCTTATGGTGTTACGTCACATTGGAGACCGCGTCAATCAAGTGATTAGTTACATTCATTACTTTGTTGAAACAAAGCTTCTCAATCAGAAACCGGAAGTGGTAGCCACCAAGACTCTGATATGGACATTAGTGGTTCTTATTTTGATGTTGTTTGTCGGCGCTGTTCTTTATTTGCAGGAAGAACAGTGGAACTTTCTAGAAGGAGTGTATTTCTGTTTCATCACATTTTCCACCATTGGATTTGGAGATCTTGTACCCAATGGAGGTGAGGAGTCTATTTTAGGAAGTGGCCCACATGGCAAGCGTCGAGAGGGGTGTGGAAGAACAAGTAGTTAAGCAGAACCATAGTGAAAGGGAGGAGCGGTTAGTTAGTTGGTTTTCTATCTGAAAAGACCCTCACAGTCTGCGCACAGGGGCTAGAAATGAAAATAAAAATTGCGTATCCGCTCCGAGAAGTCGGGTGGTGTAGGTTGCCATAAAGCGAACTTAACGGAAAGTGTCGACCACCTATCCTCGTGCCTTCCCCTTTCCCTTCGGCGAGGTACCACCCTTGCGCTCATTCATTTCTGATTTCTGGCCTCTCGTCTTCCTTTTTATTATATTCCAGCCCTTTAAAAACTCTACTTCTTTTGATTTCTCGTTGTTAAATTAACTTCCTCGTAACTAAGTAGCATTAAGGATATCCATGCCAGCGGTTCAATAAAGATGCCAGGTCCGGTTAAGACGTAACAACGTACCGCATGCACTTGCATGCGGTGTCCTTAACATATATAAGCCCAAAATGCGAGTCACATCATATGCATTAACCCGTGCTTGTTGGAGATGTGACTTAATGACATCACATGTGTCAGTAATTAGGCTTACTTGGCAACAGAACGGGGACGTCGGTTGACGGCGGCGCTGGCAAATCACACAACTGGCTTGACCAATGGCTGAGTGGTAAATTGGGCACCGGAAGTTGAGTTTAGTCCTTTCGCGCACTTTTTCGTCTTCAAATGACAATCCCGTTCTGTTGCTAAATCAGTCTATGTTAATTCGAAAACGCACGTGTGCGACAAAGAATTTGTAACCTTTCCAGACTTTCAAACAGTTTTTCAAACTTATTTGTTATTATCTTTCAGGTCAAGCTCCTACTGATGTTGTAGGTATAATTATGGAACTGCTAAGAGCTGTTGTCGTCTTATTAGGAGTATCAATGTTCTTCTCTATTATTACATCCGTATTAACTGCTTCGGAAGAACTAAGAGTTAATTTTCCATCTGGAAAATGCCTCGATTCCACGGAAAAGGGTTCAGGGGACTTACAAGGAGACATGCGCAGTGAAGAAAAGACTAAAACGGAAGATCCAGGCGGAAGAATAGATATCGAAGATATCAAAAATGGAAGTGACGAGGCAAGCAAAGAGGAATCAAGTATTTCAAATAAATTAGTAAATGATACTAAGGAAAGGGTGAATGAACAAGTACAAAAGGGAGAGCCTGGGACAAACGACAAACTGACCTATCCTGGAGGCGGGTAAAGATAGGTAACCTCCTCCATCACCCCAAGCGCTCGTCTCCGAGACTGCAAATAAGCTCTGACAGTTGAAAAAAAGAGAGAGAAAAAATCGAAAATTGTTTTTGTGACGATTGCAATATTTTGGTCTCTACTTTTATCAATCTTAAAATGTCTTCTAGAAAATAAAATTCTTGGCTTACAGCCACGTGACAAGGCGGCCATGTTGGTGGTCAATACAATAAACATTTTTTTGTAAAGTTCACTTGAAAATGGAGTTTAGATCGGTTCCATCTCTTTACGAAAACAAGAACCGGTTGTACCGACGGCACTGTAGTGCACGGTTGGTCGTCATGTTGTTCATTTAATGGATAGCAAGTGAACGGCGTTCTTTTGTCATGAGTTAATTTGATTGACACTGATATTAAGTGCTTTAAATTTGTTTTTTTTTCTCGAATAATTAGTTGTACTAGGGAAAGAGCATAACGTATGTGATCGTGAAAATAATGAAAATCGAGTCATATCATGTTAATAAATCCATATGAACCGATTATCTTTGATTGAAAGAATTTAGCTGTTAGATGTTTAGATGTTTCCAAATAGGTAAAAAAAAATTTGTTTCAACTATTGTTAAGGTTATTTGTATTATTATTTTTTAAGAGGGCAGACTGTCTTGGTAGCTAGCCTAACGAGCCAAATATTCTTTTCAAAGGTCACAGAAGGGGTTATAGCCAGGTGGTTATCGAACTTTCACAGTTTACCCTTTCGGTTCCTGCTTGTTGTGAGCTTAAACCATAAATAGCAACAGCAACTACAACTACTATAAACAGTAACAACAAATGTTGTTCCCATGCTCCCAGGGGGGGGGGCAGGTAAGGGGAACTCCGTATTTCAAGTGAAGATTTTTCATTCCGGGATTTTATGAGCCCACAGTTGTTACCGTGCCAACCGAGTGCTGTAAGTTGTGTCACACGTGAATAAAAAGTTACTGGTCGCTAAGGAAACGCCAGTAAATGCGCAATAAAAAGCGTCTCGGGTGCCGGCAGAGGTTTTTCCCTTTCGTATCACTTTTTTTTGTAGCCATGATCTTTTTATTCTACTCTTGCATATTTTAATGCTTGGCTCGTGTATTTACTCTCCATTTTCTGGAATATTATTTCCTTAGATTTACCTGAAGTGAGATTTACACAGGGGATCGTGTTCGGGAGGCTAGAGCTAAGCTTTGTTTGAATTCCCATTTGAGTTTTGACAACCAGCTTTTTAGTCTCAGTTCCGAGAGTTGGTTTGATGCTTCTTACCGATCACAGCAGTGCATGTCTGGTGGAACAGATCTTTCATTTATACTTGATTTATTTATTTCATTTTTCGGTTCTTTCTTTTTTTCAATTTTATTTTGTTGATATCCACAATTGCATTACCAGCTCACAGAGAGTTTGCCTTGTTTTACACGGTCAGGTAAGAACATCGCCAAGTTTAGCTATTTAAACCACTTATTTTCGGCTTGTTAGTCAGTTGGAGTTTAGAAGAGAGTAGAATGAATTAGCTGTTCACAGTAGAAGTCGAAGAAGACTAAAGAAGTGAGGACAAAGGGGTAAAAGAAGATTATTCGCACCTAACTAGCGTGTCCGGCGATTAGCTGAAAATCTTAAAAGGCAAACATAAGGTGTCAGAGCCCTTCACAAAACGTCGCCGAATATAACGCGACTCTTAATTTTTCTAATTGACCACCTGTTAGGAATGACGGGTACTTGGAAAAGCCTGCTCAGCCCAGATATGTTCCTGCTCTTTAGCATGCAAACGCATAACGGTTTTATAAAACTTAAAAGTTTATAAGTTAATTTCAACATAATAAAAGTCCGAAGTTTCCAGTCTTGTTTAATGTATACTTTAGTGTGGGTGATCATGGATTATAAAGCGCTGAAACCTGACTGTGAAAAGGTTACAAATGTTTAATTGAAGATGTCAGATGGGCACTTGTTAGTTTTAAATGGCTACTGATGCTGTGAAATTGTTGATTCAGTAAACTGAATTTCAAATGGCATCCTATTTTATGCCTGCTAACACACCTGAGATATTAGAAATTGAATTGCATCCGAGCAGTCACCGAAAGTTCTATTGTTTTTGCACACCTCCCTTGAAGAGAATTTCGTCAGATTAAGAATCACGTCACTTAGTTAAAAAGGAGACTCTTGACCTGATGAATAAGAGGTTAGCACGGAAACGGAAATGCCGTTAATTGTTGTGGTTGGACAACCACTGTGTTGAAAGCTTTGTATTCTATGCTGAGAGGAAAAACAAATTTTGAAAATGAATGAATATTCAGATTTTTTGGAACGGAGATAATATTGGATCAGAAAATGTCAAGCAATGTTCGTGTGTTTGGTGTTTCGCCTGGTGTGCTTGTTATGGGCTGTGATTTCGCGCGGTGTTTCTGGTAGGACATACACCAGCTTGTTAGGACCTAGATACGACGGAGCGAACTACCAAAGGAATGCACTTTTCTCAGGTCTGCTCAATGCAAATAACCTCTGGTTTCGGAAAGCAAATCCGATGGCATCATCTTATACCAGGGAAAGACAAGAATGGACAAGCGGCAAACGGGTAAGTTTTGTTAACATAAGGGTGTTAAAATTCGTTTTGTAATGTTTTCAATCGACAGAAAATATGGAAAGAAAAGGAAATACAAGGAAAATTTGAATTATTATCAGAGAACAAGGAAACATTTCTTTTGTTGGAGGGGATTTCCATGATGCAGTGACTACTAAAAGGCTCAGCGGGAAATCTTGTTTTCGCGCCAAATCCTGAACCTGTTTACATTTTAACTTGCATAAATTATAACAAATTAAATCTAAAAAGTCAATTTAGACCACAACTTAAAGGAACTGGTCGGAAAGCTTGCAACAAAGACATGTTCTCTCGCTGCGCAACAGATCGCTCAATGTTACGGAATCCTGATTGCTGAATCCAGAAAGTATTCGGCCCCTGGAATCCGAAATTGGAGTAATTTTGGTTGTGGAATCCCGACTTCTAAACTTTAAAATCCGGAATACAGCTCCGAAAATCCGGAATCCAAGTTCCATTGACGAAAATTCAGGAATCCAGTAAGTGGAATCTGGAATTCATTGCGTGGAATGCAGAATCCAAGATGGTCTTGCACTCTCTTATGTGGGGCGAAACAGCGGATAAACCAACAAACTTGGGCCATTTCGGAAGCCTGTTTGGCAGAATAAAAAGTAAAGTGAGAGGATTAATGACAGATTTTCTTGCCAATATAACTGATATTTTACATGAAAATTTTCGCACTTTGATTCAATTGTTTTGAAAGTTACTGCCATTGGATTACGGTTTGCAAAGACTCCACAATTTAGACCCAATTTAGTATCGGGCACGGTCAGTGGGCTCTTCTGCCATGACACCCTGACTTGAGCGGTTATGAAAAGGTGTTTTATGCCCCTATACTAAGCACTTCCCTCTGTTATTTTACTGCTCAGTATATGAAATGATGATAGATCGTCGACCATTGACAAATTGGAAAAAAGAAAAAAGAAAAAAAGAAAAATAGTACACGTGACTTTGCCACTGCAGCAGACACATTCTTTCATTGCAAGAGGGCAGATGTGTAACAGAAACCAATCAAATAATTCGTTATAAAAAAGAAAAGAAACAAAAAATGAAAATAAAAATAGAAAGTGAAATTGGTAAACACAAGCCTGGTCGTCTTTTGTGCAAAGGTTGGTAGAAGCGGGAGTCTACTTAGAGTACTTCAACACTTTATATTACTAACTGGAGAGTTTCCTCCCTTAACCTGTATCCTAAGACAAAAAACATTGAGCCAGTAAGAGAAATCATGTACAAAATGTTTAAAAATTGTGCTATTTTGTGGTTGAAGCGACAGGACCTTTATAATGGCTCGGATTATGACTGGAATAGTTTTCCATGGATGGAAGAAACCTCATCATGGCCCCAGGATTACAGTTCTTGGCCCCAGCAGGCTCCAACACAGGCATCACTTCAACAAGGACCGCAGGCGATACAAAGTTCTCAAGTACAAGCCCCAGCAGTTGAGGCACCATATCCGGTCCCATCTCAGGTACCTACTCGGTTTGTTGGGCAGTTTAACACACCTAGAGCGTGGCCTCACGGAAGGTACACTGGAAGTGCATTTCCAACGGCAAAGTCGCAAACATGGCGTGATCCAGTAAAATCAGGACAACATGCGCGGTAAATAATCTTTATGTTGTGCTGAAAGAAGTGAACAAGTCTGTATAAAAGAAGGGTACATGCTTCGAATGGTCACTGAAGCCTCTTGGCCGATATGGGCCTTTTGGCCATTTTGGCTCTTGAATTAATGCGTATTTGACATGGCTTTGGAATTTGTACCATGAGTAACTAACTTTACTATACTTTTAAGAATTCATATCAGCCGCAGTTTACCTTAAATTAAAACCTCCACTCTAGATTTCCCCTCCTTCAAGAAAATAATGAAACTGATGGGCAGGCCTCATTGTACAACTTCTCTTTGACTTACTCGGATTAGTTATCTATGGAATCTATCCATTGTTGTAGATTAACTCCACAATGCCTTCTTAACGCCTTCTTTCTTTAGGCCCTACCCTGCAAGACCAGCAGACATACTTGTAGAAGTACACAATGCCACGCGGGTATGCAGTCCCGGGCCTCCTTTGGGCGTGAATCCGCTGGTGCGAAACTGTCTTATCATTGGGGACTCTATCTCACTGGGGTAAAGAACGAGTGATATAGAATTTCTATGGGTCGCTGTCGTACTAAAAGTAAAATATTGCATTGTTAAAGCTGTGTTCCTTGTTCTACTGGGTAGAACAACAGATCGTCTAGCTAGATTCAGAGTAAGAGAACAACAGATGGACTTGAAATCTGTGCTCCCATATTTCTCACAGCGAAAGTATTTCTTAAAGAAAATCCTTAATATGCTTAGCTCAACTAGGAGAAAGTCCACTTTTCTAATTCATTGAGTGGTGAATTCGTTTGTTTGTTTGTTTGTTTTGTTTGGTAAAGAAAACCACTATATATGATCGGCGTTGAGTTTTCACTTTTCCACTATCTTGTCTCTTAGTTATCTAGCAACTGTTAAAAATAAACTTCGTGGTCTGTGTCAAGTTCAGCACGCACCATTCGCCAAAGGATCTGGAGCGGTGGATTCGAGATATGGTTTAAGGTGTATGTCTATGATGCTTCGCACTACGGCGCTTGAACCTACCACTTATGACGCAATCGTGTTCAATTTCGGAATGCACGATATTGACTACAGCAAGAGGTTTCCTGAGGTACGTGATCAAGATCTTTAATTGCGTTAGCCCAAAAATAGCAGCCTTTAAGGAACTTTTTCTGAGTGTCAAAAGCAGATTTAAGACAGGATGAAATGTGTTTACACTCGATAGTAGTAATAGTCGTTTCAATGAGGTTATTTTCCCTATCTTCAACTTTTCAATCATATTTACAAGTTTCATTTAGTGTAGTTCGTTCAGTCTCGGCGAAAAGACCGTTGTTTGTACAATACAATACAATATTCTATATTTAAGGAAGGTGACGCCGGTAATAACCCAATGAGTTATCTAACTTACGGCCTTCACAACAATACAAAATACACATATAAAAACATGCCTAATCAGTAATATACGACTACAACAAGAGAAAAAAATAGAAGTAGACAAATGTATAGTTTAACATAGAAATAAGATGATATAAACTAATTACCTTCTAATACAGTTACAATAAAGAGAAAAACGACAATCATATCACATTAATTCTTCAAGTAACTTCAACTGCCTAAGTTGGGAGAGAGTGTATATTAAGCTTTATTTTAACGATACCAAATCAAGCTCTTTGCTTGATTACTGTATTGTACTTAATGGTAGCTGGCACTGTTCTAGGAGCTATAGAACTGAAGAGGGTTTTTTAAACCTGTGCAGCCTTTCTCCCGCCAATGAACACTTATTCTGCAATTACCAAGTTTATTACTTCAAGAGTCAGAAAGTTATGGTATCACCATTCTTTACGTGAATTATTCCCATGTTACCTTGGATAACTCACTCAGTATCTAGATTTGAGAATTTCACTTTTCTTCTTAGGAATTCGTTCCCATAGAAGAGTACAAGAGTAATCTGCTGAAAATCAAGGAGCTACTTGTTCAAACTGGAGCACAATTGGCTTTTGCTCTTACGACCCCTGTTCCCGTGGCAGGACGGAGGAATAGGAGAGTCGTTGAGTACAACAAGGAGGCGAGAAGGTACTTTCACATCGTTAAGTCACATTGCCAAATGTCAAAGAAAACAAATAATAATGTGTGTCTCTTGCTCTCCAGCTAAGAGCCTAAACTTTACTAAAGTCAATACTTAGTGCCTTTACCTACACACAAAAAGCTCCTGAAGAGGTATCAACAAGATAATTATTTTCGGGATTTAATTGATGGGAAAGATATCAAATAGCGTGACATAGTCACTTAAAACTACACTTAAGATAAACTGAGTTTTATTCTGCAATGGGCCACGTCCGAGTTCCCCCGGGCCTCTGTATCAAAACGAGGTTAAGTGCTCAACCTTATGATACGATTCTTATGCAAATAAGAGTGCAATTTCACAAGAAAGGTTGTGTACTTGGCCTCATTTTGGAAGTGAGGGTTTTTGGAACTCGGAAGTGGTCTACTGCGTCCGCTTTGCGGACCTTGTGTTAAAGACAGTCCCAGAAAGAAACTGAACAATATATTTAATTGTATAGGGTTATGGAGAGAAGAGGGCAGGTGGAGATTGTGGATTTGCATGCGACCGTCATCCACGAATGCGGTGAACCGCCTTACGAGACATGCAGCATCATGAGACATCCTAAGGATGTGGTGAGCTCAGTTGAGACCATACAAACACATTAATTGCATTTATCTGCATGATTTTGTCGTCTGAAAGAACCTAGTTTTTTTTCTTTCATTTTGGTTCTTTGTTTGTCTTTCTTACAAAATACGTAAACCTTACGTCGGCTCTTCTATCTGTCTCATTTCAGCATTTTAACTTGAAAGGAAATACACTCCTTGGGCTTAAAGTGGCAGCCACGCTACGGAATCTTCTGTCCAAAGCCAAACCTCGAGGTTTGTCGTTTAGGGAACTTTTGCAAGCCTGCGTTCCGAATATGTTTCTAATTGGCACTTATTAAAACTTTCCTTTTACTTTAGGCAATAATTCTCCCCCCAAAGCCCCGGAACTGTCGGCAAGAGAAGGTGAGGGTGCTATTGATGGTTTTTAATGTGACTTTGAACATGTAATGGACCGCTATATTTAGCAAATTTTGCTAATGAAAAGTGTGAGACCACTCTCGAGCACCTCGAATAAATGAACAAGATAAGGCTTCGGATCCTAATTCGCCATCTGTACATCTTCAACAATACATCTTGTTTGCCTCCCCCTCCCCCATACTTTTGCACAAACATTGTCTTCAATTTCTCTTGGGACGATTATTATACCCAGGGGAAACGAAAAACAAAGGTTACGCAAAATTTGCAGACAAGGTGCATTATGGGAGATGTGCAGTTGGCGAATTGGAGTTTTTTTAATCATTTGCAGGGCTGGCAAGTTCTTATATGCACGATGATAATTCCTTTTGCCCTGATATGGTGACGAGGTGTCCTGCAGGAACCACATGCTGTGAAAACCTGTTATCTTTGACAGGGTATGGCTGTTGCATGGAAAAAGACGCATTTGGATGTCCGGATAGTTGGCATTGTTGTCCTAGAGGCAGTCACTGCTCGCCAGATTGCAATTTCAGATCATGTAAATGTATGTTCCCATCTACACGTCCTGCTGTATCATCAAAGCCAAGAAACAAAGAAAGCAAAAAGGAAAGAAAGCAAGGTAAAGGAAAATTGAAATCTGAACATGGATCCAATTCTCAGGATGTTAAACTTGATAAACCTGTCAAACCTGCTAAGCCTGGTGTACCGGTCGAACCTGTCAAGCAGGATATTGATAAGACGTTGGTTTCCAAAACAAGTGAGAAACTCAAAACGGAAGAAGGAAATGACAGAAAGGATAGTCACAAAAAAGCCGCCACGAAAAAGAAACAAAAGGCGATAAAAACGATGCTGGGACCTAAAAAGAAACATGATCAGGGGTTGAAAAGTAAGCATCATTTTCCCAAGAAACATAAAAAAGGTAGGAGTAAAAAAAGACAAAATTCAGCCAAGAAACTGAGGAGTAAAACAAAAGAAAAAACTTCTGGGAAAACAATGAGGAAATTTGAAGTAAAGGCACACAGAAATCACCGTAAGTCTAACTACCATCACACACTGAAACAGCTTTGGGTAACAAGGCTTGGTAAACAACATGGTATAACAAGGAAGCGAAAGCCACATTTTGCATTTTCTCACATGTGGGGAAAGCGAAAGCATCACGATTTCTCATACCAGCATGTTAAAAAGAGAAAGAAGGACTATGAAACACATAACTCGCATACGTCGCTGACGGAGGAGTTAAAACATCTTATTATCAAACAGAGAAGGAAAAAGCTTGGATCAAGACTTCGAGCTCATACACATGGTAGCGTTAAATATGGCATTAAAAACAATTTAGAAAAAACTAAAAAGACAGAGAAATCAAATCTTCTGGCAAAAGCAGGACAATTCGCCAAGTTTCATTCTTCGAGGAATAGGAAAATTTCCTTCTCAAAGACGACTGATGTCACTAAACACAAAGGTAGTCCACTTTCTCTAACAGGCGGAAAGCTCGTCACCAAAATTAAAGTAAATAACCTGAGGGAGAAGGTACAGGACAAGGAGAAAGTGAAGGAAAAGAATGTCCATGGTAACCAAGAGGGTAAAATGCGCAAAAACGAGGATAGTCTAATAAAGAAACACACTGAAAGCTGGCCAAAGGACTTCAACGCTCCTGAAAGACTAGCAAATAACTGGAGCAGGACTTCAAACGAGACAAGATTAAAAAATAAATCGCCCAACCAATCAGGTAATCAGGCGTTAAATCCCGATATAAGACAGAAAACGACCGATGGAAACGCCATTCGTGCCAGGCTAAAGAACGTCCCCTCGACTAGGGTTTATGCCGAAATAACAACTGATAAATTCGAAAGGCCTTCAAACGACAGCACCGTGAAAAATCACACCACGCAATCAATTGAAGCAAAGCAAGCAACTACTCTCAATGAAGTATCGGCCGGTATAAATGAAAAAGGAAAAGATCAAATAACCACTTCTACGAAATTGTCCCAAGAAGCTTCAGATGGTTTTGAAGCCCATGAGCATGACATACCCTCGGCAATAAACAAAACCAAAGGTCAGTCCTCTGACACAGAAATTTCATCATTTCACTTGAATCCAAATCACGCCGTACATTTCGCATCAAACAAAACAGATATAAAGGAAAATCGAAACACATCGAGGCCATCTGGCAAAGGCAGAGACACAATGGTAAAAAGTGGTGTGAGGATATTGCATATGTATGTCGCAAATACTAATGACACCATTTCAAAGACGTCAGGTTTTAATTCAAAGATAGATGAAGTTGTTGGTGGCAGTGGTCTTACGGATTCACGAACTGCCAGTGGCTTCAATGACCTGTTCCCTCGTACTGATGGGTCTTTTAAAGGTGAGGATGCTACAGAGCAAATGGAAAATGTCAATGGCAAAATGGATGGAGATGTAATTGGTAGTGGATTCCAGGCTGACAAGCCATTCGAGTCTTTAGCAAGTGGCTTTTTGCAGTTCTTGGAGTCGACTCCATTCTACGAAACCAATGGCGATTTGCTCACCGACGAGAAAGTTGAAAAGGACATGAAAGAAAGTTTAAGAGCAGAGGAAGAATCTAATGTTGCAGATGTTCCATGGAAGGAATCTTCTTTAGAATCTGGAAATGACGTTATTGAACTTAAGGCTCAACAAACTGATGATCATCAGAACTTGAATGATGATAATGGAGGTGAAAGCGGACTCGTGTCCAATGGAAAACTTTCCTTCACATCTGGGAGTGGTTTTGAGTCAGGGTCTTCACCGAGTTATGGTTATCTTGATACAAATGGATATTATAATGGACGTGCTGTTGCAAAGCACATAAGCGAGCATTTCAAGGGAGATATAGGTCGAAGTGGCAAAGGACGTGATGCCGGTGACCGACCGATCAACAATGATTCCAGTAGTGATCATCTTATAAGGAAGCTTTTACTCGAGAATGAAGAAACTGAAAACGTAACGTATGTCTCTAGTACAGACGATTCTAATTCTTCAAAAAGCAGAGAAGGCTCGGTGCTAGGAGGTAACGGCTTTTACATGTCAACTTCATGGCCTGATGTATTCAGCGCATCCAGTGCTGATACGAGTGACAGGGGTTCTGGAATTGATGATGACTTTTCAGGGGATTTCAGAAGGAGTCTTCATTTTGGAGGAGAACGTGATATCGATGACGAAAGCGAAATTGAGTTTTTTCTGTAGACTGAGACGATATGTATTTCGGATTGCCTTATGAATGTCAATTATTAGAACGATAAGAACTCATGTGCTGCATGTACCTGGAATTCCCCGGACGCATTATTCTCTTGCTTATAGATATGTAGACTGAGACGATATGTATTTCGGATTGCCTTATGAATGTCAATTATTAGAACGATAAGAACTCATGTGCTGCATGTACCTGGAATTCCCCGGACGCATTATTGTCTTGCTTATAGATAGAAAATAAGATCAATTTTGAATGCTTTGTTCCAGTAAGACAGGTGCTTAGTGTGGTAGCCGATTTCATACTGTCTCTTCAGATCAGACAGCCTTTCTTAGGGGTTCCCCTCATAAGGAGCCAGAAAATGATTCTCCCACAGGGAGTAACGAACTGCTCTAAAGGTGTTATGGGTTTAAAAACAATACAAAAAGTCAACACACAACTCCCTTCGAACTGAATTCCTACAGAAAAAGCAGAAATTATTAATTCTCCATTTGCACATCTCCCATAATGCACCTTGTTTGCCCACCCACAATTTTGCATAAGTATTGTCTTCAATTTCTCTTGGGACCACTGGAATACACAGGAGAAATTAAAGACAAAGCTTATGAAAAACTTTGGGGGAAAACAAGGCGTATTATGGGAGATATGCAGATTGCGAATAAGGCCGCTGATGTAAATATCGTATAGCGAGCCCTCGCTCGAAAGTTTACGATAATAGTCTATAATAACAGTGAATAGATATAGGTACATCACGGAACTTATTAATTACTTTTTACTTTGCCTTTACACTTTGTTCTTAAATCAAATGGATGACATTAAAATTCACAAAAATCAATAGTTTTGATACTAAAACAAAATGTGAACGGTGCAGTTTCGAGTTGGTCTCTTCAACGTTAGCGATTTTCGGACATGTTGAGGGGATGTCAATGTAGTAGTAGCATTTGTGTTAATCAGATAAAATGTTTTGCTTTTCCATTCCGACGGTACGCTTACAGGTTCTCGTTTTTTACCTGTGTGCAACAGTCTACTGTTTGATACTATTGATACCCTGTTGTTAAATGCTGCAGTTCAAAGCCGTTTGTTTTCAACTACTACTCCTTGTAAACCTGATTATAGCCACCCATAGCAGAGTTTAGCCTACGCTATTTACAATTAACTGATTTAAGGTTAATTTTTCTCGCTCGCAATTAACAGGTATCTGAAAAAACTACTTTCAATATTGCAAACCACATTTACAAATGCTGACGTCTGGTACATATAGATATACACATATATATGTTGTTCTCGTATTATTTTAAGAAACCCTTACCATAAATTTTATATGAAAAGCAATATTAGTAGGTATAACAATCAATGTTACGGTATTACTGTCAACCTCGAGTTCACTCATAAACGCACATTGAAAGGTCTCTATTTTGACCTTACATATCAAGAGCGTGTTCCCTGTAGATTCAATCTACAATAAACAGGAGTGTTGTCTGAATCAGCGGCCCATATCCGCTTCGCTGTATTCTTAATACCATTTATTAACCCCCAAGGCTCGTCAATATGACTGGCAATCACTCTTACGAAAGGCCAATTCGTGTCATCGAAATCCGAAGAATTCCATCCAGGGTACAGAACACTGGTGCACTTCCAGGTTTCATTAGTTATTAGTCCGTTATTAGCAGAGCCGAGTATTCCAAATAAACCTCACAAGTCACTTCCCTTCACTGAGATAACTCGGGTATCTCCTGGTACATCTAAAGAGGTAGCAGTTCTCCAACAGCTGTTGTCCTTTCCGAGACTATTACCATCAGCAAACATTTCCATGGCATCGTCACAAGCAAATGTCGCACTGAAGTCTGCATGGAGGAAAGATAAAAACGGCGTGCCCTAATATCATGGAGTGTTTTTTACTTTTTTTTCCTCAGAGTTGTTTCAAAATTAATTCGCCGACATGAGTCACTGACGGAAAGCTATCAGAATAATAAGGCTGATTTATTTGAGATTGAGCCGCACTCGGAACAGGCGTCGCGGCGCTTTTTGGACTAAATACAGTATTGCCTGGAAAGAATGAGAATAGAGAGAGAAAGAGAGTGAAAGAGAAGAAGAGGAATCTTACCTTCACGCCTGTATCTGTATGAACCCACAGTGTTTATACAATGACCTGTGAGGCAGTCATGTGATCCTTGGATGCACTCATCGATATCTAAAAGTGATGAAAAGAATCGTTTTTTGGCCAAGCCTTTTAAATATGTAGAAGCTTGGTTTTATATATTTTTTATTTCTCGCCTCGATCTCTCGAGCTTAGCACAACATCGAAATGTATTTACGTTCGGCGGAGCAAAACGTAATCGCAGTGACAGAGAATGTAATAAATTTCCCATTCTTATGAATGCACGAGAGCAGTTATGGCGTTGATGAACTCTATTTTTGTTAGATATATAAGGTTTAAACAGTTGCAGTGTGTTCATCTCAGCTCCCGAACATTCAACCTTTAAAATGCCGTCCGATGATGATCTCGTGGGTAGCATTTCAAAGACGAGCCTCGTTCTGGTCTACCTTCTTTGAAGAGAGAACTGTCACAAGCCCGGGGGGGACTATATAGTTCAAGTATCAGGATGATCGAATGGGGGCAAAAATCAAACCCCCAAAACTCCCTAGGGCTTCCAGCAAAACCAAAAAAGAGTCCCCGGACGAAAAATAACCCCCAAGAAATCCCATGCCGAATCTCCGAGCCTTAAAAATTTCCAGAAGGCGTTAAATGATATACCGAATAAAAAAATTAGAAATTGATTGTTTGTGTTTGTTTCTTCATCATACCATCTGAAGTTGTCACGCGGGCAATACAACGAGCCTTCAGATTGTTTTGAATACCCAAAGAAATCCGTACTTAAATCAAGCCACCCAAAAAAAGCTTGCCAAATTTTCCTATCAAAAAAAATCACGGACTCGAAATTTTCACTCAAAAAAATCCTTCGATTATCCCTGTCACCTGAACACGATGCTGCGCTGAAGAGGCTCATATCAGCCATGCAACGCCAGTATTCAGCAGTTCATTAAGAAAGGCAGCGAGAAACAATTTTCTCTCAATTCTGTAGCTGTTGAGCACGTCCAGTCTGCTTCGACCTCCCTAGAACAAGCGGCTACGCCACAAGTTGAAAAGTCGCTTAAAGAGTTGAAGAAAGATGAGAAGAAGCTATTTCACAGAAATAAGCTCAACCTTATAGCCGATTCCTCCGAGGAGGGATGGGAAGTTGTGAACGAATACCAGCGCAGGGATCTTGACGATGACAACGACGATGGCAAGCGCATACGACCGGCCAAGGAAAGGGCTTCACAGAAACGCCGGCGCGCCCAATCGGCGAAAGAAAAACCGCCTTTGCGTCCTCAAAAGCACCTAGTCTACCGGTTTCCCCGCTGCCCATCGTGGTTTCTGGTGACGGAACTCTTGTCTCTCCGTCTTATCGAGATATTTCTTCATCAGGCCTTAGTTTTGCGAACCTTTCGGTGCCGTCAATTGGCCTGGGGGCAGTTGCTTCACTTCTATAAGTTTCGGCCATTTCAGAAATTAGTGCCTCGTCTTCCAAGCTCAGTTTTCCGCTAGCCAACCCGACAATCGTACGTCGATGGACTTGGATGTTTGCGAAGTCGATCCTATTGACATTTGTCAATATAAACAGTGTCTTGGCTCTTATGTTATTGCGTTCCATGGGCGGCAGTCAATTTATTTTAGATGTCATTGATTATGGTTATCGTAATCCTTTTCATTGTATACCCCCTGTTAGTTTTTCTAGTAACAATATTAGTCCGCATTGGCGTATCCCTATTTTGTGAATGAAGCTATTTCCCAAATATTGGTTGCCTTTCGCACTTTCGAAACAGAGGTTCCTCCTAATAATTTCAAACCCCTATCCATCTCTTTTAAGTCTTCTTGGAAGAAGAGGAAGATCTTAGACCTTAGGTTTGTTAGGGTATGTCACCTTAGGTTTCTTAGGGTCATGTTTGAGGATCTTAAGGTTGCCCTCAATTATTAAGGAAAGGGTCATTTCATGTTTTCATTTGACATCAAGAACAGTTATCATCATGTACTTATCTTCCCACCCCACCGGAGATTTTTAAGTTTTCCCTGGTTTTACAAGGGTAAGGTTTGATACTTTTGCTCCAGGTTCCTACCGTTCGGCCTCTCTTCAGCTCTATTCCTTTCATTTTCAGGAAGCTTTGCAGGCTACTTGTTGCCTACTGGGGGCGGGAGGGCATGCACATGCATTCTTGTTGATCTTGTCGACCATTGGGAGACATTTGGAGTTGATCTTGTCGAGCAAGGTAATACAAAAAACTCAAAGAGAAACAAACAACCGCTCTTTTTTAGAACTGCGTGCTTTAACTATCAATATATTGTACGTCAATGGCCGCGTATCAGCTTTTTACTTGAAAACTGCAACTTGTTGACTTCCTTGACGATGACTTACGCACGAAAAACATCAAACTGCATATTCGATGCAGATGTTAAAACGGCGCTTCTTCAGTCGTTTTGATAAAACTGACCCAAAGAACTTATCTCATCTTTTTTTTTTTACTTTCTCAGCATTAGCACCATAAGTATAAGCCATGAAACAACCCATAGTCTTATGTTTGACGTATTTTTTGGAACCGAATTTGGTTGTTATTTAATGCCACCTGCTTTTATTGTTTTCTGTTGTTTTATTGTGCGATAACTGACTTTTATAACTTCAGATAAACATGCAAACACATGCATTTTGGTCGCTAAAATTCCTTAGAAGAGAACTACGAAGCTACAATCGCCGAAGCACAAAACTGGGCGATTGAACAACCTGACAACAAAAGGGGTAACCATGAGAAAAATTGCTTTTAAGTGAATATCCCTAACTGACAATATCGCCTACTGTTTTAAAGTTTTTGTATAGTCTTTTCTACTCTGCTAGCGGAGTTTTTCAGAACTTTTGGCGTACTCGGGAAAACCTATGCATGCATCGAGTAAGATGTTTGCTGAGCATGCGCTGCTTGTTGCAAGGATACATCTCTGAACCAAGACCTAACAGCCGCGATCTTGGTACAGCGGGCTCAGTTAAGAAGTTTGCGGGTTTATCAATACACAGATACTTAGTTTCGGCCACTTCAAAGGATCGACGCATTTAGAGCCTCCTACTCTTCTCCTCATTCAAAAACAAAAAAGGAGGCTGTGGACACAGCTTGAGTTTTTTCACTCCCAGGAGAATCGACAAAAAATTCAAATTTCTTTTTTTGTTAAATGAAGAATATATTAATATGTGAAAGAACTGTTGAAGAGGTTCCAATCGAATGGACACAAAGTAGGATCTCATCCACACCTTAAAAGTTAGAACAAGACACAAAATAGATAGTACCGTTTGAATGTAATGCTCAAGAGGTTTCATTTAAATGGTAACACCACATAAATTCATCCACAGACTCAAAAGTTAGAACTGCATACTGACCAAATTAATTGTACCATGGGAAATTACTGCTGAAGACGTTTAATTCGAATGGTCACACCGCAGGATTGAAAAAGTCTGATGACGGTCTGGAAGAGCTGAAGAACTACCGTACCATTAGTAACCTTCCTTTCATTGGCAACGTTATTGAGTGAATTATAGCACAATGCAGCCAAAATAGTCCATTTGGCCATCTATGATTTGATGCAATTCAGTCACATCACACATCAATTTGGCCCTTGATTGACTTTTTGCTCGACTTATCGTCTGCCCTCGACAGATGCAAATGAAATGTGCTTTTTCCAAAGGGTTTTTGCTGAAAAAACTATCTCCTTCGTGCATTCTATCAAGGATTTGACTCATCGGCTGGAAATTTTGATTAAAAGTGAAATTCTCATTACGACGGGAATGGTCTGGCCAGTCAGTTCTGACAAATGGAAAGCCCCCTCAGTTAATAGAAACATTTCATATTTTCGTCCGCATCATAACTCGTAAGCAATTCGAGTGGCAGGTGGACTTTTAAGTGTACCTAACGTAAAACGAATAACAGCCTTTACTGAAAGAGAAAAAAAACTACCGTAAAATTCCGAAAATAAGCCCTTCCATGTATAAGACCCTCCAAATATAAGCCCCCAAACTCGTAACGTAAAAAACCCTCCGTTAAGTCGCCCCTCCGAATATAAGTCCCCCGGGGGCTTGTACTTGGAAATTGCTCTCGAATACAAACCAAAATAAAGCAAATACGGTCAATTACGTCCAACTACAAGGCTAGCCCAATCGATTTTGAAACGCAAATATCCCTCAATAAATAAGCGCCTCCGAATATAAGCCCCTCCAAAAATAAGCCCTTCAAAAAGGGCCTTTGAAAAATATGAGCCACGGGGCTTAATTTTCGGAATTTTACGGTATATAGGACAAAAAGCGTAACCATTTTTTCATACCACAAGACAACAATCGCAAAGAAAACTAATTATACAGTTGAAACTACTGAGTTGGTGGAAGAAAGACTATGATGTGACTATTCAGTGCATCTCTGGGGCCATACTTTTACAAACGTAGTATTATCTGCGTCTACAAATAAATTTTACTTGACATCCTGAATCAGTGTTTTGTATTTTCAGTTTCAATTTATCTTTTCCTTTTTGTCACTCTCAGGAAGGAAATACATTGGCGCTTTGAAAAAAAAAATCAAAGCCTTTCATTATTTGGCGTGGAATTAGATGTTGAATCAGTATTCTTCTATTTTCATTTTTTTAATTTTTTCTTTTATTTTTTGGCAGTCTCCAGAAGGAAAGTACATTGCGGGAAATTAGAAGATTCGGAAAATAGTAAAGCGCACCCTAATCTACAACTCTTCTGAAAGGTAATCACTAGTCCTAAATGACTATAAAAAGTGAAGGTCACACAAACAAGTTAGTGGGGAAAAGACAGTAGGCTTTACCATACAACCGTGCATTAACACATTTTCAGAAATTTATCTTTTTAGAATAAGAGAGTAAATAACGTTACTATCGCTACTAAAAGCGAATTTACTTCTCTCGTCGAAGGTGTTGTTGATGTCAAGTGCCCTTTTGTGAGGTAAATCTCGAAAATTTAGTGATTCGTTAGCGCCTGCAGATGTTCATTTTCATTCAAAGTGGCAAGGTTTAAAGTTGCCATCGCAACCGAGGGAGACCGACTTTGCTCGTTGATGTCCGAGTTATCGGTGTTCCTTCCTTTCCATTTGAATGTTAACAATCTTTTATATTCTCGGCGATAAGATGAATTTGTAAAGCCATATACCAGCGGATTAACCGCACTGCTAAAACTACCAAAAAAGGTCCAGAGTAGTTGAACCTCACGGGGTATATTCCACCAATCAATGGCAAAAGCCTGGATGAACTCGATCACAAAAACAGGCAACCAGCTCAACACGAACATGACAACCACAGCAAAAAGAGTTCTTGTAATTCGCATTTCATGAGAATTTACTTTTGACTTGCGTCTTGTGTTCTGAGCCAAATTTGGCGCGACGCGCGTGAAGTGGTCCCCGACCGCTTGGAAAATTTTGAAATAACAAATGACCATGACTGCGGTGGGAGTAACGGCGAATATTAGTAGCAATAATCCTCTTAAAATAGCTGGATAACTTCTGTGTTCCATCGCTGCGCCTTTCTTGAATATCACACAAGCGGCTTTGGCAGGGTTGAACGCAGCGTCCATAGCCCCTAGCGTCAAAGGAACGACTAAAATAAGGGCCGTAAAAATCCACACTGCAACTAACACCGCAACGGTTTTTTTCGTTGTAAACAAATGCTTATACTTGGCAGGTTTTACGATTCTGAAAAATCTGTTTAGGGAGGTTAAAACGATGGTTTGAAGCGACACAAAAGCTAGGAAGTAGATTGAAAAACACTGAATAGTACAGGCAGTGTCGCTATATGGCCATCTACCATAAATAAGAGCCCCACAAGTAAGTGGCATACAAACAATTCCCATAAGAATATCGGCCAAGGACAGAGCTAATATCAATACGTTTGTTATGCTTCGAAAGTTGAAGTTCTTGAACAATACACCGCAGAGAAGAAGATTTCCAAACAATGCCGCCAAGGTAATCGCCATGAAGAAAGCAACTTCTACCACTAAAACAGCAGATGACCGTGTTTCCAGCATCTCCGCAAAACGGGCGAAGTGATCAACACTCGAGGAGTTGTTGTTAGTCATGTTTAAAGACTTGGATCATGTTCTTCAGATATCTAGCCAGTAAGGTATTAAAATGTTTACCATGCCGCAGATAAAGTATCGCTTTGAATTTGGCAGTTGCTCGGTAAGCCTGAATCTTTCCACTGCTGGCACATTCCTACTAAAAGGCCGTTATGAATAAATTATTTCGTGGTCAGTTTTCTGTTGAATTTATTTAATCTTTTTTTTTCTCTCTCGTAGGAGATAATTGAAAAGCATATGCTGAAGAAATGCACTAAAAACCGTTTTCCTTGAATTGTGAAAGCAAAACAATTTTCTTTTGGAAAAATGGACTCGAAGCTTTTTTTCTATGAAATAGACAGATTTTGTATTTTTTATTATATGTGTAATTGAAAGTGACAAAAAAAAAGGGTTAAGAGATGCAAATTAGGTTGTTAGTTTTCTCTTTTGTTGCAACTGTCGTGATCAAACTCGGAATTCGAAAACACAAAGAAAATATTCCGCAAATATACATACAAATTCAAGGTCACCCGTCGGTGGTGCCATAAGGTTACATAAATACATTTCCCTCATTTATCAATTTTATTTTGAATTTGTGTATAAGAGTTTGTTTTCATTCTTATCTCATAATTGCCAAACTGGAGTCTCTACATATTGAAAACTATTTATTATTAACGTCAGGCACGATTCATTGGCTATCGAGAAATCGAGACAGTAATGATAGACATACTCACTTATACCAGCAAATCGACAAAAAGCTATTCCCTTGTTTATAATAAGTGAAAACTCATCACAGAAAATGCGCTATCACAAAGGAAGCATTCAAACAGTACAATATTAAACACCATTGGGATATGATGGTGACATGATGTGAAAGAAAATGAATCCAAATCTTAGTTTCACAACAGTACAAGCTTCAGCCCCAGTGAGAGATAAAGTCACAAGATCTTTTGAGAGAATACGTAATGAAGTATTGAGATCATCATGGGTCAAACATCTGCAGTCAGAAACATAATAATCTTCTTATCGTTACCAAAAAAGGCTGACGGATAGACTCCGCTTGCGCGAGAACAACAAAGTTGAGAGACAAAACATCTTATACCATCTTATTTATATGAAAAATTGAAATACTTCAGTCTTAAGTTTCCTTTTATATGTCGGTAAAATAATTATCCCTATTTGCATCGATTGGATCTGCAGAACTGAGGCAAACTTTTAACGAGACTCGAAATAATGAAGGTCAATCGCCATGAAGACAAAACACTAAATTTTGCCCGTCTGTTTTAGGAATAAAATGCATTCTAATCTTCTACATAGATGAGTGTATTTTTAAACACAGTAGGATGAGAGAACGATGAGGGTATTATAGGCGCCTGCCGTCACTTCTAATGACCGCTCTACATCCACACCATAGACAGAATCTTTGCAACCTCCTCAAATTCATTCTCACTATAAATGCATTATTCTATCTCTTACCAAAATACCCTTCATCCCACTACTAAACTTATATCAATCCACTCATTCAAATCTTTTTCCTTTCTCTACATCAAGATGTCCATCAATGATGGTATGATAATTGAAATTGTCCTTTATAGTAAACCTACAGCCGAACATCAGTACCTTTTACGCGCACAATGTCACTCCTTACACACTAAACGAGCTTTTCCATTCATCCTTGCCCTGAGAACATGACGTATATGTTCCTCCAACGAGAACAGGAAGATACAACGTGTTCATACTATCACACACACTCACACAAGCGACTCACCCAACCCACACGTATCCCTCTGATTGTCGGATATCACCCAGCCATTCGCTCAATATCATCTATGTTTCACAAGCACATCTACATTCTCTCATCCTCCCAACACGGTGTTACATTGATTAAATATATACCTCTTGTTACCTTCCTACGTACCAACAAGCCTGAAATTCACTAAGGGAACTTCCCGTTCGGAGCCAGAGCTCTCGATTAAAATCAGTTATGGTGTTATAGACTGTTTAAAGACAAAAAAAGTCCGCTATTTTTCTGCAAGATCGTCGTGAACGAGCGCTACAGACGGCCATCTTGACATGGTCTCGCTTGAACTATACTTAAAGGGCGGTAGACTGTTCACAGTCCCCTTTTTTCCCGTGAGATCGTCGAGACATAGCGCGTCTTACCGTTAATTGCGGCCATCTTGATTTTCAAATGTACCGAGGGGGCGGATTCTAAGTAGTTTTGACCGTACTCATCCAAGATGGCAGCCGGTAATGCATAGCGCTGGATCTCGACGATCTTACAGGAAAATAGCGGACTGTGAACAGTCTAAAAAAGCGGGGAACTGTTTGGGAACCCCGTGGCCCGCTCTCTCGGTGGTACATTTGAATCCAATTACAAAATGGCTGCCAGTGAAAGTGAGCACTCGATCTCGACGATCTTAAGGGAAAGAGAGGACTGTGAACAGTCTATCAGTATTATAATTGATTGTTACTAAATATTTCATAACTTTAACTAAATTAGGCAGTTGTAATAAAACAGTCATTTCTTTCGGTTCCGTAGGTTCCGCCGGTTCCACAAGTTCCGCGGTCTGCATTTCCTCAGATTAGTCTTACCCAAAAAAAGAAAAAACGACTCCCCCGTGATAAGTGATTGCAAAAGGCCGTTGCTGCCAAACCCGGCGATGGGAAGTAACAAATGAAATGAAATGTTTGGCTTCGCAGTCGGGACCTGGAAGGATCGAATGGAACGGAAACAGGCAAAAATTGAAGTGCCTTGATTCTTAAAATCCCATTAATTTCACGTAAAGTGCACCAAACACCCCTTGCATAAAAAATGAAAGTCTAAATTTTGCGATTTTTTAAAGTGATGAATATGTTTAGTCAACTCAGTGTGGCGGTTAACATACTAAATTTATGACTGCACGAGTTTAATTGTAGGCATGACAACGAACAAATATTTTACAAACAAATTGCTTAGAAAATGCGTCATTAGTTCCTCAGGCTTCCAGAAAGTTTTTCAAACCTTTAAGGAGATCTAATTTTAAGACCCATCCCTATCTATATTTATTATATTCCTTTATACTAAAGACGCACAAGAATGATTGAGTCGTTATTTACCGGTTACAGCTAAAAATATCAGCATTTTTTGCCACTTCTGCAAAATTAAATTGAAACTTTTAGCATACAATTAAAATCTAGCATGGGATCTTTTTTTAACGAGTTATGTCATTCCTTACGCGCTTGACTAAACTTTCAATTCAACCTTGAATTATTAGCATTTAATGATCCATCGTTAAAATCGTATTCCGTTGTCTATAACTGTATCATTATAAGTGTCATCTCTGCTCTGTACTAAAAGAAATATCAATTGCCAATCTGACTGGCTCAGAACATGCCTGATTTCAAAAAGTCTTATTGACTATATTTCTTGCACGAGTGTAATTAGAACGCATAATAGGCACCTCTGGCATAATCCATAATTTTGAAAATTTTTCTATATGTATATATAGAGAGAGTTTAAAAATGCTGAACGTTGACGTCAAAAATAATTGTTTTCTGTCTGCCACACTGTTCCTCATTTAATCTTTGCATGAAAGGACAGCAGCTGTTAAACTCTTCCCGTTGCCCTTGTTTATCTGGTAGTTTATGACGCGCTCCTATGGCAACTTTTCATTATCTAATGGATGCAAATATACCGTGATAATCCCCGAGGTGGAAACGATTAGAATTTCATAAAGAAAGTCGGGTGATTTTGTGCACGCACATTTTGCGGACCAGCCATCAAAGCTTTTACCTCTGCCATCATGGTCGTTCGAACTGTACTTCTAACGGTTCTTCTTTCTCTTGCTGGTAAGATTGTGTACTTAGAGATTCTTATAGATAAACCTGATAAAACACAACCATATAATATAATATAGGCACCGTTTCCGCATATGACCATACAAAGATAAGAGACTATGTTTTATGAGGTTGACCATCCAAAAAGGAAAAATCGAATCAAATCGACCGACACGGAGGCAGGGTACGGGTTTTGAATATTTCACGATCAGTACCGAGATATCTTGTTACTGAGTTTGAAAACCCCAGCTCAGTCCAAGTGGAGTTTTTAACGAAGATAACGTTTATGTCTACCCAATATTGAAATTCGCTGCAGGGTTTGAAACTGAATTTATTTCATGTCTTAGCCGTTAGTAAAGTTTGAGCCGATAAATATTTGTTTTATTGCAACTTCGCCAAGCTCCAAACAACTTTTGAACATTTTCAACTGTGCTGAACGAATTATTAAATCGATTGATGCACCTAAGTATTTTATTTAATCTGCATCAAAAAACTCAGTTGTAAACAACTTACGTTAGGAAGTAAATGCATGCGTAGTTTCACTTTTGATGGTGGACAACCGAAAAAAAAAGTGCAAAAGTTCCACTTTAAGAAACTAAAGTGATGACGTCATAAAAATGAAATTTCTGAAATTATGGGATTTGCCAAGATATTCTGAAAGAATAATGTCCAAGAGGCCTACTTACCAAAAATGAGCATTTCGGGGCAAATTGTCTCTGAGATGTTAGCCGGTTATACTCAGAAAACTCCATACAAACCCTTCTAATTTTTTTGGGGTCGACCCCAAAAAAATTTAGAAGGGTTTGTGTTGAGTTTTCTAGGCATAACTGGGCTACGATCTCAGAGACAATTTGCCCCGAAATGTTCATTTTTGGCAAGTAGGCCTCTTGGACATTGTTCTTTCAGAATATCTTGACAAATCCCATAATTTCAGAAATTTCATTTTTATGACGTCATCACTTTAGTACTCTATGCTCGGTAGGAACATCTTAGTTTTGTCAACAAGTTTGAGATCCGGATCCCGACATAAACCATGAAAATGGTTAAGTGTGTCCATCAGAGCTCGATTCACTGGCTGCATAAAAATTTATTGATAGCAGGTTTGTAGTTAATTTAGCCGTGTGACTTTTGATGATGATAACTAAGACAAACTTGTGACACACGTACATCAACCTTTGGCCTGGCCAGTACCTCACGCATGCGCACAATATCGACACCTTAACTTTGTCTTAAATACCCACTACATGTATTTCAGTCTTTCATTTCTAAAATTATGAGTCACTTTTCATTTGTTCATGTTGCACAGCCTTCAATACTTCCGCCGATAGAGAGGTGGGCGAGGGTGGATTGAGAGTTAAAATTTTAGGGAGGTCAGGAAAGATAAGAATCACGCGAGAAGCCGGCGGAAGGAGGAGGGATCTCTCAAGAGATGACGGAGTATTTGTCGTGGAAGTAGATCATGTAAAACAAAAGAATGCACAGGGAGGCGATGTTGGTAAAAAAGTAGAAACTCTAGCCAACCAAGACTTCTCCATCGATGTTAACAAGAGCGCTAACTATCAAGGTAGGTTACGGTATAATCTGAGACGATTAAACAATGTACTTAACAATTATTCNTTGTCAACAAGTTTGAGATCCGGATCCCGACATAAACCATGAAAATGGTTAAGTGTGTCCATCAGAGCTCGATTCACTGGCTGCATAAAAATTTATTGATAGCAGGTTTGTAGTTAATTTAGCCGTGTGACTTTTGATGATGATAACTAAGACAAACTTGTGACACACGTACATCAACCTTTGGCCTGGCCAGTACCTCACGCATGCGCACAATATCGACACCTTAACTTTGTCTTAAATACCCACTACATGTATTTCAGTCTTTCATTTCTAAAATTATGAGTCACTTTTCATTTGTTCATGTTGCACAGCCTTCAATACTTCCGCCGATAGAGAGGTGGGCGAGGGTGGATTGAGAGTTAAAATTTTAGGGAGGTCAGGAAAGATAAGAATCACGCGAGAAGCCGGCGGAAGGAGGAGGGATCTCTCAAGAGATGACGGAGTATTTGTCGTGGAAGTAGATCATGTAAAACAAAAGAATGCACAGGGAGGCGATGTTGGTAAAAAAGTAGAAACTCTAGCCAACCAAGACTTCTCCATCGATGTTAACAAGAGCGCTAACTATCAAGGTAGGTTACGGTATAATCTGAGACGATTAAACAATGTACTTAACAATTATTCCTCGAGCCCGAATGGGCCTCATGGGCTATTGACTCAGAGGCCATGAGGGCGAGAGGAATAAGTGTTTTAGTAAAATCCAACTAGTTGGTCAAAAATATCGAGAATAAAAAGATTTTAGCTAGTTAAAGCTAGACTTTATTCCTTTTTTGCCGCCAAAAAGCCCACGCTTTTCGCCAAGATTCAGGTCAGAGGAATATTTCGTATACGAGATAACCGAAGAAATGTTTTAGCCAAACTTATAGAAACTTATGGAGACGCCATGCTGGTGCTCACCTGGATGAGCTCCAACATGGCGGACAGAAACCGACAGAAACATCTGTTACCGAGTTTTGCTAAAAAAGCATGAATTTATTCTTTGAGAAACACATGAACATTAAAGTAATACTTTTTCTAATAGATGAACGGTTTATATAGCAAAATTTCCTGAAATAAGTCATTTTTTTAACCTACATGACAGCTCTCTTGGCCGTCATGTAAATGCCGCGTCACGCAAAAGCTTAGAAATTCAAGCGTACTCTAGCACAAAACCAAGAACCCTTTTGAAGCGAAAATTTGTATGAAAATTAGTCTTCAGCTGCTCTAATGCATCGTGAAAGTAAAATCTTGGTAGGATCGATAGTTTTTTAGTTTGAATTTTAGTGACGTCATGTGAAAACCAACGATAAACAAGTAAATTTCGTGGTATTATTATCGTATTATTGTTACAATTATAAAGGAAAGAAACGGAGATGTAAAGAATCAACTATACGAGGACACATAAAAAATCTGAGCCCCAGATGGGATTCGAACCCACGACCCCCCGTGTTCTAGGTCTGTGTCCTCGTATTGTTGATTCTTTACATCTCCCTTTATTTCCTTTATAATGCTAACATCAGTGGCATAGATTGTTACAATTATTATCATTATTATTATTATTATTATTATTATTATTATTAAATTATTAATTAGGTTCTAGATATCCATTCAAATCACGTGAGGTCTCAGAAGACTTCACTTTCGCTGTAGCTGGTCTACATCTGCACTCATAATTTTAGTTCTAGATTTTTGATAGTTTTTTTCTTAGTAATGCTTGATTTTCCTATTCCCACTCTTAAATTATTCACAATTGTAAATAGATTCTATCGTGGACATATATTTAGTTTTTAATTAGTATCTTAGAATTCTGAATTGTGAAGGGGTTTTGCCGGAAATTTGTATTTATATAATATTGATGTAGACGTTTTATTTTTATGAATATTTTACAGAAGTTTTGTGTGTAGTTTTTATAAGATTTTTATAAGATTTTAATAGAGAATTTATCACTTATTAAATTATTATTATTACTGTTACAATTATCATTATTGTTATTTTTGTTTTCTGTTCAATTTATGTAAACAAATACATTGAATTTCATAAAAAGAAAATGTGCCCTATTGTTATTCTTGGCATTCTCATAATTTCAGCTTGCTCTTTTTTTTTTTTGTCTTTTTTCTTTATTAGAACAATGTTTCACCACTGCGTACTTTCAACTGATCATAATGACGAAACTAGGCGGTCTACAAGCTCATCCTGTTTTTCATTCTACACGGATTTCAATGCTACACACTCCCTCTCTAATGCATTTCATTTTATTATTACTATTATTATTATCATTATTATTATTATTATTATTATTATTATTATTACTCTTTTCCTTCAACCTTTTATTTGTTTATTTATTTATTCATTTACTTATTATTGATTTAAACTAGGTGTTAGCGCCGCCCACATCAACTTGAATTCTTACCTGGACGCTCCAAAAGCCCATCTCATTGTTGATATTTACATCTTCCGTACAACTGGAAATGTCACTTTTGGCAATGAAACAACTGAAGTGCAGAACGGGACCCTGAAATTCTTCGTGGAGGTGAATTTTTGCCTTTTTTTATTTGTGTCAATAAAGGTTATAGAAAGGAAGATGAACAGTTTCTCTCTGGGAGGGGGCCAGTATCCTGCAATTTACGCCAGCTGTGCACCGCGGGTTTAATCAGCGCTTTCCCTAAGAGTATGTATGAAATTAAAAAATGGCGTCCTCGTTAAAGGCATGCTGAAAAAGAGATGATTGCTAACATCGATATTTATGAAGCAATGGCAAAATTGGATTGTTTTGTACATATTGTTCTTAAACAAGCAGATTAACTCTTCACAGCATCTTATGTTCGATTCTTTTGGGGAACCGCAATGTCAAAGACTGAAATATCGTATTCCTGAGCGCAACCTTGGATCTTCTTCGTTTTTTAATATCCTATGGCTATATTACAGTAACTTTAATTTTTTCTTACTGAGAGAAAAAGTTTTTTTTTCTCTCTGCTCCTTTTTCTTAGTAGTGTAGGAGTGGGACTCTTTACCCCTTAAAAAAAGAAATTGTACTTGATAGTACTCAATAAATTTAAAGTCAATTTTAAAAGCTTTCTTTCATTTAGTTGATATCCACTAGCAAGAGCCTTTAGGAAGCCCTCTACTAGCTGCAGTTTTCGCAGTCATTCACGCTTCGTTATTTAATTGTCGCATTGCAAACCACTGTCGTGATCAACATTTCCTAAACTATACTGGAAATCAAACGTTTTAACATTGAACCGTAAAAAATGGCATAGAAGATGCATATGGTGCACCGGTCATTGCATAGTCTCCGCTAAAGAGGTACGACTATGGTTATGGCTTAGACTGGTCAATCAAATCTGATCTGCGAATGTAATCTTATCTATGACCATACGGAATGAGACGAGGCTATTTCATCTGTTAATTTTGTAGATTAAAAACTATACTTTCTGCAATGGACAAGCCATACCTTCCATCTGCAAAGCAAATGAAGTAGGAAAATACCTTGAGGTGGCAATTGTTGTGAAGGGCAAAAAGGAAGAAACGCCAGAAGAGGAGAATGAGGCCGATAGAAAGAACAGGGAGGACCGCCTTCCAACTGGCAAAAGACCCAAAGGAATGCGATGTCCTTTAAAGGATAAATGCCCCAAGACTTACAGGATTGGCAACGACACTATCGGATTGTCCAAAGAGGTAAGAAGAGTACGTTTGTTTTACGTGCACAACATCAGTCGTGATCGAGCTTTGATAGCCGAGCCAATTTTGAAGTTTTGCTTGACAGTTGGGTCCACCTTGTGTCTAATTGTACTATGAGACTGTTCTGGGTAGGCTACTTTTACGCACGACTCACTTTTATTCAAGAAAAGAGGGGAAAAAAGGAAAACCTATTCAAACGAAAACTAGAAAAATCGAGAACAACGTGGTTTGGTGTAATATGCTTCACAGCCGTTCTTTGTTTCGTCACGCAAGGCTCCTTCCATTTAGGTTTCAGAGTCCATTTTCTGGGTGTTCGTACCACGTTTACGGTACGGGGAGGGGTGTTGCGTGACGACACAAAGAGTGGCTAAGGAACAGACTAGGTTTAATGCGGTGGTACCTTTTTAAAGGTAAAGCTACCTCTAAATGTATGGGATGATGGACTCCACGACAAGGGCTTTGTTAGTGGCTACACACCGTTACCAGGTTCAAAATCTGCTGTACATGCTAATTTAACTAAATTCATAATGTATAAGCAGTACAATATCATAAGAATGGCTGTGGTGTAGCGTTACCTTAGAAACGTTCCTTTATTCAGAACATCCATGAAATATTGGGAGATTAGACCTATTTTTACCAAGAAAAATCAGTCAATTAATCAGTAATTAGAGCTTTTTACTTTTCTTGTCTCCTCTGACGAGATTCATTTACTGATATTTTAGTGCAAAAATGACGGCGAGAATGTAAAGATGCCTATGGGATACCCCAAGTTCATGCCGCAAGGCGGCAAAAACAGGTTCATCTTCCGATGCAACAAGTTCAACAGAACCGTCATCTTTGACCCATACTTAGAAGTGAGTGAAGGGGATGACACAGATGACAGCAGTCCGATGCCTCCTACTGAGAACGCGACTTCTATCCATGTGAATGTTTTCATGTTTATAACATTGCTTGCCACTTTTTTCATGTAAAATGGTGTGACGGTGTCTTTCTTAGCAGTTACTGGATGGGGCTGGGTATGATATGAAGTATTATGCATTCAAAGGCCGAAATCAATAATGTTATTATTCAATCTCATATTTCATGTTTATTGCACTGCTTGTCTTTGTGTAAAGTACAATCATATGTAAGAGTTTCATCAAGTATTTGGATGTTGAATGGAGTACTTCTTTGTAGCGTTTGACTTTACGTGATAGGTTCAATGTAAACATGGTAAAAGTAATACAGGTCTCGTGGACTTACGTAACGGACCCAAGTCCCAGGCCCCAGATACAAATTTTAGCTGACCAGCACCGCACTCGTGAATGCTTTCTTTGTGTCTAGGTTTGTTCGTCTGGAAAAAATGTCGCTGTAAAAAACTTCAACTGTCTCTTGTTCTATACAAAGGATTATAGGCCGGTTAAACATGTAGGGGGTGTTGCATTGTCCCAACAGTGTCACGATGTTTACAACACCGTTACAACATTGTCAACACTGTCCCGAATTGTCGCGACATTTGAGAGACGATGTTCGACCGATGTTCAAACCGAATTCTCATCAACATCGTTACGGTAGTGAAATGTTGACAAGACAAGGTTTTCCTCATATACACATTTATTATTGCAACATTTTGTGCTACA